TTGGCTATTGTGAAAAATGCTACTATGACCATGACTCTGTTCAAGGGTCTTCAAGACCCTGATTTCAATCCTTTTGGGTATATGCCCAGGAGTGGGCTTATTGGATCACAAAATAATTCTACTTATAGTTTTTGTGGGAACTGTCATACTGCTTTCCATAGCTGCTGTACTGTTTTACATTTCCAACAATAGTACACAAGGGTTCCACTTTTTCCACAACCTTGCCAACACTTGCTATTTACTGTTTGATAATAGCCATCCTCATAGTTATGAGATGGCATCTCCTTGTGGTTTTGATTTGCATTTTCCTAATGACCAGTAGCAGTTGAGCATCTTTTCCTGTGCTTTTTTTGCCAATTGTATATCTTTGGAGAAATGGCCATTCCAGTCCTTTGCTTGTTTTTTAATGTTTTAGTTGTAGGAGTCTTTCATATATTCTAAATATTAACCACTTGTTAGACAGATGATTTGCAAATATTTTCATCCATCCCATAAATTGCCTTTTTACTCTGTTGTGTATTTCATCTGGCTTTTAAATTAGGAAATACTAATAACCTGCTTAAATAAAAAATAAAATATCATAAAAATTAGCTTCAGTATCATATTAGGGACAGTGAAAAGCCGGGACAATGCATATAGGGAGGAAATGAAGCTGTAGAGAATGTAAAGACAGAAGAATTATGGAGAAAGGTATGTAGTTCTTAATATTTGTGTCATAAATATTTTTATCCCGTTAATTCAGTTAAGTTTTAATTTTGCCATCTTTTATCTTTAGCAATAGTCATTCATCATCCATTCATCCAAAAAGTATGTTCCTGTCCTAGCTGATTTGGCTCAGTGAATAGAGCGTCAGCCTGTGGACTGAAAGGTGCTGGGTTCGATTCCAGTCAAGGGTACACCTGGGTTGCAAGCTTGATCCCCAGTAGGGGACGTGCAGTTCTCTCATCATTGATGTTTCTCTCTCTCCTTCTCCCTTCTCTGAAATCAATTTTATATATTTTTATTTATTTATTTATTTATTTATTTATTTATTTTTAAGCATGTCCCCAGTGTCTACAACTATGGCATTGCCTGCACTCAAGAGGCTTTTAACTTGTTAAGAGATTAAGGTAAGACAGATATTAAAAACTAAGGTGGAATGAAGTAAGTACAATACTAGAAATGCTGTGAAAAGGGTGCCTAAAAGGAACAATTTATCTTCTCTGTGTGCCTTCCAGCATTAGCGGATCTGCCCACTCTGAATGAGTCTCTAGTCACTTAGGGGGCTTTCCGGGTATTTCTGACCACTTCCCTTGGACAGGGCATTTTCTCGTAGTTGATATTTTTTTGAAGTGGAAAAGCCATGGCTATTCCAATCTAGGTTGAAACTCAAAAATGAAAAAAATATTAAAACAGTAATAAAATCCAAACTCTTGGCTATAAGGTAACTTTATAATTCAAATCTATGATGGTTTAATTTAGCATAGGTCTCTATCTTCATCCTCCCTCCCGCCTCCAAATTTTATAAATGTTTAATGTCTCCTAGCTGTTTCCTCTTTTGATGTTGGTTTCTGTTGAACTTTAGTACCTATAACTATTAGGCAATGTGGTCTGCGGTGGGTAGAGGAAATCACAACTGTGACCAACTTCTGCTGGAGGCTGACTATTGTCATTACTGGGAGATTTCTATTAAATAACTGGACTGAGTAAGGTTACATTCTTAGCTGATCTTTTCCTAGGGCATCCTAGTCTATAGCACTTCTGGCTAGCAGTACCAGAAGGAAGGCTGTTTTAAAATATTATTTTAGGTCAAGTAATTTTATACAAGTTAACATATATTTTAAATTGTAGATTTAAAGAAGTTTTACATTCTAAACTAAATGGAAGAAGGTATAACAAATGTTTTTCATAGAACATTTTTCAGTGAGTTACTATTGTAACAAAATTGCATTACCAAACTTAAATTTCTTTATATGAATAATGTCACTAGCCCCAAATTAAAGCTCTCAAAGAAACTCTCAAAGCATTTAACCCTTTGCGGTCCAATTTTATTTTTGGAACTCAAACAGTCTGGTCCAAATTAATTGATGGGATTGAATGTTGAACTTTTTAATGTTCTTATTTTAAAGTTTAAACCAAAAATTCACTGGTTATATTACTAAGTATGTTCAATCAAAGAGTTTATTCTTTAAAACATTTCATAGTGTGGTATCTTTTGAAACTGGTCTGTCGAGTCAGCCTCGACGTTGGACCGAAAAGGGTTAAGAACTTTCTATTTCCTCAAAATAAACTTTTGTTGTAGTCCATTCAATGAGCACTCCATTCACTACTTTTACTCTTCTATTTAATCAGAACAAAGTTTAAAAACAGTGGTTTCCTTTCTAGTGATAAACAATTACCACAGATAGCTTATCTGAAAAAATATGTAGTATTGTAGTAAACATTGCCTCTGCAGTAAGAATTCTGCCCAGAATAGCCATGATAACTAAAGTTATCCTTTTTATGAAATTGCTAAATCAAATATCAAGAATAATCAGTCATGCCCTAGCCCAGCGGTTGCCAACCGGTGGTCCACAGACCACTGATGGTCCGGGAGGTCCAAAGGGTTGGCAACCCTTGTCCTAGCTGGGTTGCTCAGTGGATAGAGCGTTGACCTGCAGATTGAAGGGTCCCAGGTTTGATTCTCGTCAAGGGCACATGCCTGGGTTGTGAGCTCAATTCCCAGTAGGGAGCATGCAAGAGGCAGCCAATCAATGATTCTCTCTCATCATTGATGTTTCTATCTCTCTCTCTGAAATCAATAAAAAATATATTAAAAAAATAAAAGAGCTCGAACCAGTTTGGTTCAGTGGATAGAGCGTCGGCCTGCAGACTGAAGGGTCCCGGGTTCGATTCCAGGTCAATGGCATGTACCTTGGTTGCGGGCACATACCCAGTAGGGAGTGTGCAGAAGGCAGCTGATCGATGTTTCTCTCTCATCGACGTTTCTAACTCTCTATCCTTCTCCCTTCCTCTCTGTAAAAAAATCAATAAAATACAAAAATGAATAAATAAATAAATAAAAGAACAGCTCTAGCTGGTTTGGCTCAGGGGATAGAGCGTCGGCCTGTGGATTGAAGGGTCCCAGTTCAATTCCGGTCAAGGGCACATGTCGGGTTGCGGGCTCGATCCCCAGTAGGGGGTGTGCAGGAGGCAGCCAATCAATGATTCTCTCTCATCATAAATGTTTCCATCTCTCTCTCCCTCTCCCTTACTCTCTGAAATCAATAAAAATATATTATAAAAAAAAAAAAGAATCAGTCACTGCTATATGATCAACATTAGAAGTACTTTTTACTTGCTACTGATCTTTTTTTTTTTTAATCCTCACCTGAGGACTTTTTTTTTCATTTTTTTCAGAGAGAGTAGAAGGGAGGGAGAGAGAAATATTGATGTGAGAGAGACACATCGACTGGTTGCCTTCCACACCTGTCCTGACCCGGGGCAGGAAGCAAACCCAAAATCCAGATACATGTCCTTGACTGGGAATCAAACCCGAGACCCTTGGGTTTGAGGGCCAATCATCTAACCACTTAGCATACTGGCCAAGGCTTGCTACTGCTCTTGACTGCTTTATGGAAAAACTAAAGTTAGATGAAACAAATCTATGAAAATTGCGCTATATCCAAGTGGCCATATATAATTATAGCAAGATATTTGCCTGCTTCAACCCATAATCAGGCTTAACACCTAGATCTGTAGTCAAAGTGACTTCAGGGTTCTTAGAGCTATCTTAGTACCTGGTTTGGCCTGAAGCTGACTTGGGAAGCATCTCTAGGCTGATGACAGATCTGAGTTTGCATTTCCAGGGACAATTAGGGCCCTCTGGCCCACTTGGCTATATTCTTCCTCCAATCTCTCCAGAAAGGTCCAGGTGTCACCCAAAGGGCCCAGCTGGCCAGCCCACTCTGACCTTGTGACTATGTATCATGGAAGTACTGGAAAGGACGAGTGATAGCATCATTCTGATTTTCTGTCAATTCTGATTTAAAAATAGGGAAACACTAGTCACCAGTGATTATGGATTTGCCTTCAATGTTAAAAAATTGTATCCATGAGTTCCATAAAATAATATTGTATAATATAAAATAACTACCTTTACTTTACTCTGCCTTAACCAGTTTACCAAGAAATTTTCCACATTGTAGATGACAGGAAACTATGATAATTTCCAATTTTTCTATTTTATAGGAATTAATCAACATTCATTAATGTTCAAAGACAATTACTGATGAGGCTTTCCTGTAGAAGTACAGAAATCTTAGAAGTCAACTTTCACCCTCCATACTAGATTCTGATATTGGAAATTAGTTGAATGATTTCGATAATTTTGTGCAGTTTAAAATTTTTAGCTCTAAGAATTTAAGGGTTCTGAAATTGCCTCCTAACCTAGCATAACCAAATAGAAGACTGCTAACTTTCAGAACAAGTTGAAAAATAAGTGTTTTAATTTGGTACATTTAATGGACAAAATCCTTATGAGTTGAGTAGGCAAATCTGCAAGCTAAGATTTTTTTTTCAGCTTTAGTTTTAGGTGCACTATCTCTCTCTCTCTTTTTTTTTTTTTAAATATATTTTATTGATTTTTTTTACAGAGAGGAAGGGAGAGAGATAGAAACATTGATGAGAGAGAAACATTGATCAGCTGCCTCCTGCACATCTCCTATGGGGGATGTGCCCGCAACCCAGGTACATGCCCTTGACCGGAATCAAACCTAGGACCTTTCAGACGCAGGCCAATGCTCTATCCACTGACCCAAACCGGTTTCAGCTCTCTCTCTTTTTAAAAAAGATTTTTAAAATTGATATTTAGAGAAGAAGGGAGAGGGAGAGAGAGCACAAAACATCGATATGAGAGCAAAATACCAAGCAGCTGTGCAACCTGGGTGTGTGTTCTGACTGGGAATTGAATCATCAACCTTTCAGTACACAGGACATCACCCAACCAACTGAGCCACACTAGCCAGGCCACTATATCTCTCTTTAATGGGCTTTGCACAAAGTTTTATTAATAGGCTCGCTGCATTAGAGCACCTGAGAGAAAGAGTATAAATTAAGAGTCTATAACTATTTTTTCAGATGTACAAAAAAGCACAATAATATCTGTCTTCTTCATACATTAATGACAAAACCATAATAATTAAGGTTTTTTAACAGGTGTTAAGTAGAAATACTTCTTATCTCCTATCTATACTCTTACATTGATTATAAGTCTTCGATGAACAGGAAGCTATAACTGTCTCTCTTCAAGTCTGTCTGTATCACATAAGCATTGATCACTTTTGGGCAACTCATTCATAGCTGCCTGTCTTTGCTGAATGGTCTTCACAAATCTGAGCAGATTGACGATGGCAGCAGGTGTCACTCCAGGTATCCGACTTGCAGCCCCAATCTATGAATTGAAACCACAAGAAAAACATAAAGTGAGCTATGTCAAATAAAATTTTCTTCCAGTGACAGTAACAATTTATATATTACAATTTATAAAATATTTTCAAAACTATTATCTTAATGTTTTCAAAATAACTCTATAAAATAGGTAAAGGAAATGTGTTTATTATCTTCTTTTTTTTAATGGGAAAATGACGCTTAGTGAAATTAAAATGACTTGTCCAAGATCACATAACTAACAGATGTTGGAATACCTACTTTTTCTTTTCATTAAACTAATGTAACATCCCTAGCAGTGTGTTGGGCAGCACTCTATAATTAATCTCAGTATTTCTGTGTTGTATTTTTACAATGAAATATATGAATATTAACTCTAAGTGATGTAAAGACTAGCCTCAGGCCAGTTCAGGTCAGTTTTTTGTGATAATGGATATTTTCTATAACATTTCCACTGTAACAATATTCTGTCCAACATGGTAGCCACTAGGCAAATGTAACCACTGAGCACCTGAATTGTGGCTAATATGAGTGAAGAGTTGAATTTTAATTTTTAAAAATTTTAATTAATGTAAATGGTCTATTTGGCTAGTAGCCATGATTCTGGGCAGTGCAGCCTATGACTATCCATAAAAATATAACCCCAAAACGAATAGTATATATAGAGGTATAAAATTTAAGGCTTGTTTCCCTGGTTTCCATGACTACTGCTAGGAATACCATGCCATATTGATGAAATCACTCCTTCCTTTAAAAATCATTAAAAAAATATTTACAGACCATATTTTTGTTAATTGTTCCTTTTTTGTTATGAACCACTATTAAAAACAACGACAAAAAAACCCACTGTCATTAAACTATGGTACACTATCAATTTTTAAGGTACAACTTAGCTTTTCAGAGATGTTAAAATGTATGTCTTAGAATCAATAAATACAGCCTATCAGTCTTCAGCTATTTATTAGAAGTTCAATACTATAAACTACAAAGGTTTTCATAGACATTCACAGATGTGTGTACATGCATGTGCAAATACACACACACGTGGGCTAAAGCATGGGGTAGGAAACCTCTTTGGCTCCCCTTTCTCCTAGTTGCTCCCACGGCCACACTATGGAGCCCCTAGAGAGGGATCCGAGAAGTGATTTGAAAATCACCAAATTATAATCAACCAAATACTTTTTTTTTAATATATCTTATTGATTTTTTACAGAGAGGAAGGGAGAGGGATAGAGAGTCAGAAACATCGATGAGAGAGAAACATCAATCAGCTGCCTCCTGCACACTCCCCACTGGGGATGTGCCCGCAACCAAGGCACATGCCCCTGACCAGAATCGAACCTGGGACCCTTCAGTCCGCAGGCCGACGCTCTATCCACTGAGCCAAACCGGTCAGGGCTCAACCGAATTCTTGACTGGTGGTTATTCAGACTAAGCTTTTTCTTCATTAAAATATATTGACATCTGTCACAGGAAGAGATATTGAAAATAAGAAGTTACATTTTTTATGATGAAATAAACCATGAGTTATGTGACCATGGTAATTCCAGGTTTAAAAAAGAAAGCACTGGCTCTTAATTTACAACCTATTCCTATCCATTGCTCGTGTTCTTACCGTCTGTGGGCGACTGAAATGTAGCTTCTCTCGAACTTCATGGGACAAAGACACATCCCTGAGAGTCAAGTAATCTAGGTCTTCTGGCAGTTGGAGAGCTTCATCTCGCTGAATGTCCTTTATTTCTTGTTGCTGATAGGACAATACTGTTTCATAAGTGGCTGGTGAACAAAATAAATCATGTCATGATAGATTACATTAACAAGTTACATTTTTATAACTTTTTATAATTTATAAAGAGCTTTTGCTGCATTATCTCATTCAACACTTAATCTTAACACCATGAGATAGGTGGGGTACATATTCCCTTTCGCAGATGAGAAATAAAAGCTAAAATAGAGGGAATATCTCTACAACAACATTCTGTCTGGTAGTATACTGCATGCCCTTTTCATTTCAAAAATTTGGAAAATTAAGAGAAATTGTGTTTCTTCTCAGTGCAAATTTTGGTGGGACACTCCTCAACAGGCTGTGGGTTTGAATTTTAAGTCCTAAAGAACAGATGTTTCTTCAAGAAAATGGTTCTGAATTATGAACATATAAAGCTGTATTTTTTTAATTTAAAGCTTCTCAGATGATAACATAATTTAACTGAGGTTTTTTTTACTCAGACGTAAAGTTAAAAAGATAATTCAGCCATTATTTTATAATTAAAGCATTCTGTTCTTAGAAACATAAATTCAAAATTTATTTTAAAACCTAACCTGAGGTAGTCACTCTGTCCTGTTCAAGAAAGTACGTCTTCCCTGAAGGTTTTGGTAGCACCTGCTTCCATCACTTGTCTGGCAGCTCTGAGCCTGGCTCTGCCAATGAATTACCCTCTAAATATGGGCATGTCGCCGAAACCAGTTTGGCTCAGTGGATAGAGCGTCGGCCTGCGGACTGAAGGGTCCCAGGTTCGATTCCGGTCAAGGGCATGTACCTGGGTTGCGGGCATATCCCCAGTAGGAGATGTGCAGGAGGCAGCTGATCGATGTTTCTCTCTCATCGATGTTTCTAACTCTCTATCTCTCTCCCTTCCTCTGTGTAAAAAATCAATAAAATATATTTAAAAAAAAAATATGGGCATGTCATAATCATTCTGGCCCTCAGTTTCTTTATCTAGAAAATATAAGTGCTAACTTGGATGACTTCTGATGGTCTTTAATGATAAAAAGGGTGGTTGTGAAGTATACAGGCCTAGTCAGACAAGCTAGATTCAATCCCAGCTCTGCCACTAACCAGTTGTGTGTTCTTGGGCAAGTTACCATTTATCTGTAAAATTAAGGTAATAATGCTAATACCTATTCTTCACAGGACATCTATAAGTATCAAAAGAAATAATGCACATAAAGGGCTTAGTACAACATGACAAAATAACAATTTAGTACAACAAATTGTAATACAACTTTATGACTCATGAATAGACTTGGCAAGGGATCATGGAATATAAATGAGAAAACATATATTAAAGTATATTTATTTAATCTTTCAAATATGTATATAGCAAAAACCTCAGAGATAATACAAAGAATCTGAAGTTGATTTCTGCCTTTAAGAAACTTAAAGATCCTCTAGTGGAGGATCTGTGAAGTAATTGGAAAACCACTGATAAGTGTTATATTTTAACTTAGTGTGGTTTCTTTTAAGGCATGAATACGAATTAGAGTCTTTATTTACAAACAAGTTAAAAATCATTATTCTGGATTATTCTAACCTGAACCTGGTGATTTATTGGACAAATTAAGTTGCAAATCAAGTTTAAAATGTAGAATTTAATCACTTTTTTCCAGTGCTAAGAGCCTAAACATTCAATAAAGTAACTTTTACTTAATACAGAAATCATAATATTGAAATAAAAGGTCAACATTACTTCTTATACATTAGTACACTACTAGTGTCCGGTTATTTGAAAGAATGATTCTAGAGTTTAAATGGGTTTCCTTTCGTTGCTAGGCTTTTGTTAACTTGCATGGTGGATGGTAGGCAGCACTTGGGTCATCCTATAAAAGCAGCCAAAGCATAGCAAGGTGATAGGCCTCTGGAACTGATAGAAGATGCCACGGCTAGAAAGAATGTAGCATTCTTACCACCTTCGCTGGGCCCAAGGAGCTTTAAAGTCCTTTCCTGTTTGAACAGCGCATCATCATCCAACTTTTACTACTGTTCTCCCCATCTCATTCTGTTCCTTGCCTTTTTACCACCCCAGGAAAACACTTCCTCTATCAAAATACAGAAGCTGATCTTATTCTCAGTATTTTTATGTTTGAAATTTTTCACAATGAAAACCTTTTAAAAGTCATCTGTAGCTTTGGGAATCAATGCACTGACCCAGGGTAGGACTCAAGAGTATGGATTTCTTTGCCTGATACAAAATAAGTACCTGTTAATGGTAAAATGTTCCAGTATACTGTGAAAGCCAAACATAGTAATATTTCTCTCATTATTAGAATATTATATGAGGAAACTGTAAAAAGGAAGTTAAAAAAAAAAAGTTGTTGCTTTTTTCTTTAAGGGAGAGATTTACAGTAGTATTTCCTAAACTTGAAATGTGCACAGTAATCACATGGGAATCTTGTTAAAATGCAGATGTTTACTCAGTGGGTCTGCAGTGGAGCCTGATATTCTGCATTCCTAACGAGCTCCCACGTGTTGCAATGCTCCTAGCCTGGGAACTCCACTTTGAGTAGCACGGAGCCTAAGACTATGCTGGTCCTATGGTAATAATGGCTCCTCTTAAAATAGAGCTCTGCTGTCCATTCATAATTTGTACAAATGGAAAAGAGATAATATATATAGGCATCTTAAGTAAAAGAAGTATTTCCTACCTTCTATTTTCAGTCTTTCAGCTAGCTCTCTACATTCAGTATACTTCTTCAAGGGCTCTGGAACAGCCTTTGCCAATAACTCCAGGTCAACTTCTTCATACTTCAGAACATCTAGAGCTCTGCAAATACACAAAAATTTCATTAAGAGGGGTCCATACAATATAAGACAGATTAAGAACAGGATTCCTTGGAAATAATAATCTCAGAATAAATAATATCAAAAGACACCTAATTTTTTCCAAGGACAGTGAACAAATGCAGCAGCATCTGCAACACAGAACCTCAATAAGATGTGTGTGATTCTCCCCAACTCCCTTCCCTTATCATGAGAAATGAGTTGTTGGTAAAGTTTGCATTGCTATAATCCATTTGTCCTTTCTTGTAAGGATAGAATATCCTCTGATAACAAGGGTTTGATTGAATTCCCTAAGAATTTACATCTAAGCCATAGCCATGTAAGCCCATGTTCTGTAAGAGAGTCATCCTTTTGCATTCTCGGACCCAACTGAAAGAAGTCTCCTGCTTGCTCCAAGACTGCAAAATATTCTGCACTTTCCCTCTCATTTTGTGTGGTTTTCACAAGGCCCCACTGATCTGCACAGTTTGCCTATATTTACTACTGTAATTCATTTTATTTTTATTTACTAACTTTGATCTTTCCCTCTTTTTGTAGATTGCCTTTTTAATGCATGCTGCCCACCCAAAACCAATTAAAACAAGTCATTATCAAATTAACAGGAAGTCAGATCTGCCCATCCAGGGGTCCCAAGTACTCCCAGGCTTCCCACCAATCTTATTTATAGCACATTCTATTATCACAGTCACGCATTACCACCTTTTGCAGATGTCTGACTCATCTATTCCTGAGGAAGCCTGCTCTAGGAAAGTCCAAAAATTCTCTCTCCACAGGAGACTGGACAACTAATTACAGAGGCCTCAGCAGATAAGCTACACTGAACCCATAGAACCAGATGCTCCAAAAGGGTAATGGTTATCAATTTCAGAAATTATAGAACACTAGAGGCCCAGTGCATGAATTTGTGCACAGGTGGGGTCCCTTGGCCTGGCTGGTGATCAGGGCTGATTGGGGCCATCTTGCCCAGTCCTGATCAGGGCCCATTGGGGCTGGCCAGCCAGGGGGAGGGACTGTGGGAGTGCACTGCATTGAGCGTCTGCCTCCTGGTGGTCAGTCAGTGCATGTCATAGCTACGGGCCGGTTGTAATGGTCACTTAGGCTTTTATATATATAGATAACGGAATGCACTTCCTAATGACTAACCCCAAAAAAGAGTTACTTTGGAATCAAATAGGGTTGTGACCTCAAAGAAAAACCCCTGACCATCTAACTTATTAAAAAAACAACAACCCTGGAGAAACTAAGATGGCGGCATAGGGAAACACCGAAATTGCTGCCTCCTACAACAACTTAAAAACGCAATAAAAAGACAAAACGGACATCATCCAAAACTTGCAGGAAGGCTGGCGGAGTGGAAATTCTACAACTAGAAGGAAAGAGAAAGGCACATTGAGGGTCAGGAGCTGCGGAAGTAAAGTGCAAAGGTACGGAGGCTAGAGAGTGCGCGGAAGGGGGCTGGTACCTGAGGACGCGGCTGTCTTTTTGAATCGGGAGGGAGTCACAGGCTCCCGACTGCTCTGAACTCCGGTTCCAGGAAGTCTCTGGGGACCCAGGACTCATACGGGGAGAAACTGGACTGTCTGGCAGCAGGCAGAACTCGGAACTCGAGGGCGGCTTTCCCTCAGAGGTGCTTGCAGCAATTAAATTATCAGGACACTGAGACGCGCGCGGCCTCTTAGGGCAGGGCTGAGAATCTGCCATAGTTCCTTGCTCTGCCCTTTGATTCCCTGAGACCCCGCCCCACCCAGGCTGCGGCAGAGGCTTTTGCATATGAATGCCCTGGCCCTTTGCAACCTGAAAATTACCTAACAAACTGCAGCGGGGCCACAGACCCAGAACTTCCAAGAGAAGGCCCAAGGCCCCACAGCAGCTTGCATTGCTTCACAGCTGGGCCTCATCAGAGCACCTCCAAACTCCAAAAAAGGACAGGGAATCTGCAGTTCTCTCCATAGCTCCTGCTGGGTAACCTCCAAGAGCCAGTGTACCCAGTGGTCAGAGGGGGACCATCCGGATTACAACTCCTCAGATTCATAAGGGACACACCCAGGGGGCAGACTCAGTGAGCACCAAAGCCCCACTGAAGCAAGTCTTGCCCCAGAAGGGTGTCTTCAGCACAGAAGTTCTCCCACTGCAGACACAGCCGATTCTCACTGCCAATTGGCATGGAGGTCAATTCCTCCCAGTGATCCTACAACAATCAAGGCATAACTACAACAAGACTGTGCACAAAGCCCACAAGGGGGTGCACCAAGAGTGTCCACCTCAGGTAACGGGGGAGGCTGAGTCACTGGGCCCTACAGGACACCTAGCACACAAAACCACTCTACCAACACAGGGAAGCATAAAAAATGCGGAGACAAAGAAACAGGTCACAAATGACAGAAATGGAGGAAAGCAAATGACTGGATATAGAGTTCAAAACCACGTTTATAAGGTTTTTCAAGAATTTTATGGAAACCGCCGATAAATTTAGTGAGACCCTCGAGGATATGAAAAAGGACCAACTAGAAATTAAGCATACACTGACTGAAATAAAGAATAATATACAGAGATCCAACAGCAGACAAGAGGATCCCAAGAATCAAGTCAAAGATTTGAAATACAAAGAAACAAAAAATACCCAACCGAAAAAGAAAAAAGAAAAAAGATTCCAAAAATATGAAGATAGTGTAAGGAGCCTCTGGGACAACTTCAAGCGTACCAACATCAGAATTATAGGGATACCAGAAGAAGAGAGAGGGCAAGATATTGAAAACCTATTTGGCCGAAACCGGTTTGGCTCAGTGGATAGAGCGTCGGCCTGCGGACTGAAGGGTCCTGGGTTCGATTCCGGTCAAGGGCATGTACCTGGGTTGTGGGCACATCCCCAGTGGGAGATGTGCAGGAGGCAGCTGATCGATGTTTCTCTCTCATCGATGTTTCTAGCTCTCTATCTCTCTCCCTTCCTCTCTGTAATAAATCAATAAAATATATATTTAAAAAAAAAAAAAAAAAAAAGAAAACCTATTTGAAGAAATAATGACAGAAAACTTCCCCTACCTGGTGAAAGAAATAGACTTACAAGTCCAGGAAGCGCAGAGAACCCCAAGCAAAAGGAATCCAAAGAGGACCACACCAAGACACATCATCATTAAAATGCCAAGAGCAAAAGACAAAGAGAGAATCTTAAAAGCAGCAAGAGAAAGACAGTCAGTTACCTACAAGGGAGTACCCATACGACTGTCAGCTGATTTCTCAACAGAAACCATGCAGGCCAGAAGAGAGTGGCAACAAATATTCAAAGTGATGAATAGCAAGAACCTACAACCAAGATTGCTTTATCCAGCAAAGCTATCATTCAGAATTGAAGGTCAGATAAAGAGCTTCACAGATAAGAAAAAGCTAAAGGAGTTCATCACCACCAAACCAGCATTATATGAAATGCTGAAAGGTATTCTTTAAGAAGAGGAAGAAAAAAAAAGAACTCTTACCATTTGCCACAGCATGGATGGAACTGGAGAGCAGATAAATACCACAGGATCTCACTCATTTGTGGAATATAACGAACAACATAAACTGATGAACAAGGACTGATCCAGAGACGGAGAGGCATTGATTGGACTGTCGGGCCTTGGAGGGAAGGTAGGGGAGGGTGGGGGTATGGGGGAAAGATCAACCAAAGGACTTATATGCAAGCTTATAGGCCTAACCAATGGACACGAACAACGGGGGGGGGGGGGGGGGAGGTAAGGACATGAGCGGGAGGGGGGGGTAAGGGGTAACGTGGGGATAAGGACACATATGTAATATCTTAATCAATAAAAAATATATTTAAAAAAAAAACAACAACAAAAAAAACAACCCTTTGTTTATAAGGCTTGGTTCACAGGTACAGACTTAAAGACATGCTTTGAGTCAAGCCTAAGTCTCAGAGTACAGAGGTCTGGCACAGAAAAGGCAGAGGTCTGGCACACTTCAACAGAAGATAAGAGAACTTCTGAGCTGCCTAACTCATCAATGGGTTTCTGTGTAATCCTGACAGGAAATGAATGTGCACATGCATTTGTGTATCTCTCTAGTTAAAATGCCTGCTCAGCCCAGCTGGTGTGGCTCAATGGTTGAGCATTGACCTATGAACCAGAAGGTTTGATTCCTGGCCAGAGCACATGCCTGGGTTGCGGGCTCGATCCCCAGTGGGGAGTGTGTAGGAAGCAGCCAATCAATGGTTCTCTCTCATCTTTGATGTCTCTCTCTCGCTCTCTCTTTTCCTTTCTCTCTGAAATCAATTAAAAAAAAATGCCTGCTCAACTTGTCAGTGCTCGGCACAGAGCCTGGCATGTATGCAGTAAAAGCCATCAATGTATTTTGACCAACTTTCTATCTTTTTAGTTTTATATACCAAGGCATTGATAAAGTGAGTTCATTTAGGATATTAAATGTCAACGTAATCAAAATATAATTTTTTATTTTTATTTGTATTTTATTGATTTTTTACAGAGAGGAGGGAGAGGGACAGAGAGTTAGAAACATCAATGAGAGAGAAACATCGATCAGCTGCCTCCTGCACATCTCCTATTGGGGATATGCCCACAACCAAGGTACATGCCCTTGACCGGAATCGAACCTGGGACCTTTCAGTCCGCAGGCCGAAGCTCTATCCACCGAGCCAAACCGGTCTCGGCTGATAGCATTTTTATACACCAATAATGAACCCTCAGAAAAAGAAACTATCCCATTTACCATCACAACAACAAAAAGATAGTATACTTGGGAATAAACTTGACCAAGGAGGTAAAAGACCTCAGAAAAATTTAGAACAATGAAAAAGGAAATAGAGGAAGTCCCAAAAAAGTGGAAGCATATACCGTGTTCATAGATTGGAAGAATTAACATCATTAAAATGTCCACACTACCTACAGCAGCGGTTCCCAACCTGTGGGTCGTGACCCCTTTGGGGGATTGAACAACCCTTTCACAGGGGCCGCCTAAGACCATCGGAAAACACATATATAATTACATATTGTTTTTGTGATTCATCACTATGCTTTAATTATGTTCAATTTGTAACAATGAAATTGGGGGTCACCACAACATGAGGAACTGTATTAAAGGGCTGCGGCATTAGGAAGGTTGAAAACCACTGACCTAGAGCAATCTAGAGATTCAATGCAATCCCTATTAAAATATCAATAGCATATTTCACAGCTCTAGAACAAATATTCCAAAAACTTACATGGAACCAAAAAAGACCCTGAATAGCCACAGCAATCTTGAGAAAGAACAAAGTTGGAGGGATCACAATACCAGATATCAAACTATACTACAAAGCCACTATAATCAAAAGAACCTGGTGCTGGCACAAGAACAGGTATATAGACAAATGGAACAGACTAGAGATCCTAGAAATTGACCCACGACAATATGGCCAATTAATATTTGACAAAGAAGGTAAAAGCATACAATGGATTAAATATAGTCTCTTTAATAAATGGTGCTGGGTAAATTGGACAGGTACATAAAAAAAAAACAAAACTAGACAACCAACTTACACCATACATAAAAATAAACTCAAAATGGATAAAAGACATAAATGTAAGACATGAAACCATAAAAATCCTAGAAGAAAACATAGGCAGTAAAATCTCATTTTCACTGATACATTGCCTAGGGTAAGGGAAACAAAGGAAAAAAATTAACAAATGGGACTACATCCAGCTAAAAAGTTTCTGTACAGCAAAAGAAGCCATCAACAAAATGAAAAGGGAGCCCACTGTATGGGAAAACATACTTGCCAATGATACGTCTGATAAGAGTTTAATTTCCAAAATATACAAAGAACCCATACATCTCAACACCAGGAAGACAAACAATCCAATTAAAAAATGGACAAAGGATCTGAATAGACACTTCTCCAAAGAGGACATACAGATGGCCAATAGACCCATGAAAAAATGCTCAAAGTCACTAATCATCAGGGAGAGAAAAATTAAAGTGACAATGAGCTATCACCTCATACCTGCCAGAATGGCTACTATCAATAAATCAACAAACAACAAGTGCTGGTGAGGATGTGGAGAAATGGGAACCCTAATACGCTGCTGGTGGAAATGCAAACTGGTATAGCCACTGTGGAAATCAGTATAGAGGTTCCTCAAAAAACTAAAAATGGATCTGCCATTTAATCCAGTGATCCCACTTCTGGGACTATATCCTAAGAATCCCAAAACACCATTCTGAAAGAATATATACATCCCAAGGTTCATGGAAGCATTATTTACAATAGCTAAGATCTGGAAAACAGCCCAAGAGCCCCTCAGTAGGTGAATGGATAAAAAAAGCTGTGGTACATTTACACAATGGAATACTACACAGCTGTAAAGAAGGATCTCTTACCCTTTGAGACAACATGGAGGGTCCCAGAGACTATTATGCTAAGTGAAATATGTCAGTCAGAGAAAGACAAATATTACATAATCTCACTTGTAAGTGGAATCTAATGAACAAAATAAACTGACAAACAAAATAGATCCAGTGACATGGAAGCAGGCAACAGACTGATAATTCTCAGAGGGAAATGGGAGCAGGGAGGAAGAAATGAACCAAAGAACATATATGCATATATACATAACCCATGGTGAAGGCCTTGGGAGGGGGCAAGAGGAGGGAGGAGACAAGAAGGGGATATCTGTAATACTTTCAACAATAAAGATAAATTTAAAAAAAATGAGTAGGGAGTCTTTAATATCTCTCTGAAATGATCTCATTTTTCTGTAAATCCTGTAATTTTTAAGTTCTGTAATTGATATTAAAAATGCATACCTGAGAGATACAACTTTACCCATACTTATAGAAGCCTCTGGGATTAGCTTTTTCCATTTAGAACTTGAAAACTCAATGGATTTCAACACAGAAATGCCTTCTTCTAAAGAAGACTTCATCCAAGAAGCTCTTGCATATCTTTGTTGGGACACACAGCCAGCTTCCTTATACCCTAGAAGAAGAGAGGAGAGAACATAATGAGAGAGGTCTGAGAGAAGAGTGAACCTGGTTGGCAGACTCAGTGAAGAGTTACCTCGGAATGTGAGGCGGCTGTCAGCATTATCAGGGCGCAGTGACAAACGGAACTCTGCTCGACTGGTAAACATTCGGTATGGTTCGTTAGTGCCCTGTGTGGTGAGGTCATCAATCAGGACTCCTATGTAGCCTTCCGTTCGGCTAACGACAAAAGGAGGCTTGCGTCTGACCCGAAGACTTGCATTGATTCCAGCTATCACACCCTATAAGAGGACTGAAATGTTTAAAAGGCCATTATGAATTGAATAAAGAGCTATCCTGTTCAGAACACTACCTAGAAAAAAATAGCCTGGGGCAGTAAGAAAGCAAGCACTGCCCAGAATGGATAGACTCAGGCAGAAAATTTGAACCTTATTCAGAAACAGAATATGGGTAACATACCACTTTACAACGCTATGATTCATTCAGTGCATGCCTAAAAACTTTTCTAGCCGTTTCCCGCTTTTAAGTAAAAGGAATATAAATTCCCACTTAATAAGAATAATATATGATCATTTTCAGTAAAGTTATTTTAAAAGAGTAATAAAGCTGCAAGTGTTTTTTTAAAAATTCTATTGTATACAGTAACCATCTCCACATAACCTGAAACAGAAATGTCTTCTATTAGTTATGTGTTGTATCTAAGATCTATATGATTATCGTAACAGACATTAAAAGGAGGAACACTGGTTAAATAGTCCCTTTCTGTTGACATTAACATTTGAAAAAAATCTTACTTGAGCTGCAGCTTCCTCATAACCAGTAGTGCCATTTATCTGTCCAGCGAAGAAAAGCCGTTGCACCAAATGAGTCTCGAGAGAAGGAGTGATCTGACGGGGGTCTAAGTAATCATACTGAACACCATAGCCTGACCAAAGAATAAATGGTACAGAGTAAGTAAAAACAGAGCTGGATTTGTCTCAAGGTAGAGATGCAAGGATTATCATTAAATGCTCTTTCAAAAAGGACACAGACACTGGGGGGAGGGGGGGAGGTGAAGGAGGGCACGTGCCGGAGGGTAGGAGAGGCCAGGGGGGTCAATGGGGGGAAAAGGAGACATAAAGTATTACTATTTGTAATACTTTAAACAATAAAAGAAAAAAATGAAGACTATTTTAAATGTCAAGTTGTTGGGCTTTGTCTTCTGAGGCTCTAAGCAGCCCTGACTGCAGTACCATCTCCTCACTATCTGCTAAGGCGATGCTGAGCTCCTACTGAAGGGCGCTGTGATTCTCTTTACCTGGCTGGATCATTTTAGCTTTCTCCAAGCCTCTGATGCATGTGATCATTTTCTCCTGTAATTCAGCTGGTAGCGTCACAGATAACCCTTGGGGGTAGATGAAGTCAGAATCTATTCCTTCAGGTTCCAACCAAACCTGATGTATACGGTTTGGAAAACGCAAAACCTTTGATTCAATGGAAGGACAGTATCTAGAACAGGGCATTGAAATAAAAAAATTTAATGAAACAAACGAAAGAGGCTGGCATCATTTCTTAAAGTAACTGAGCAGTGGCACTTTTTCCTTACCGGGGTCCTTTTGTAGTTTCCTTAATGTGACTATTAAGGTGCAGGTTCTCAAGGATAATCTCATCCACTCTCGGGTTGGTGTGAGTCAAGTAACACAGCAGCTGATCTTCTGGCTAAAACACATGAATTAGTTATAGCACTTTTGCCTCTCTACTAGTTTGCTTCTTATTCAAATAGACTGCACACATAATATTGGATGATGTTAAGAAATGATGTTTTGCTGGATGTGATAATGATATTATGGTTAATTTTTATAACATTTTTATCTGTTAAAGACATATAACTAAGTATTTTTTTTATATATATATTTTATTGATTTTTCACAGAGAGGAAGGGAGAGAAATAGAGAGCCAGAAACATCGATGAGAAACACCGATCAGCCGCCTCCCGCACATCCCCCACCGGGGACGTGCACGCAACCCAGGCACATGCCCCTAACCGAAACCGAACCCGGGACCCCCTAGTCCGCAGGCCGACGCTCCATCCACTGAGCCAAACCGGCCTCGGCTAACTAAGTATTTATAAGTGAAATGATGAGATATTTGAGACTGTTGCTTAAAATCAGCAAGAAGAAAGTGTTAAGGGAAGATAAAACAAGAATGCCAAAAAAAGTTATTTGTGGAAGCTGGGTGATGGACACACAGATTCATTATACTATTTCTTCTATTCTCTATAAACTTAAATTTTATAATACAAGTTTTAAAATACACATACCAAGAAAGTACCACAATTTATATTTTCCCAAAGCAAAAATATAAAAATGAGTTTTCAAAAAAAAAACACACAACAATATTTGAAGCCACTCATTAGGATAACACAAGAAACTAGGGCCATCAATTATTAGTCCTCAATTCTAAAAACACAACATACTATTTTTTTTTAATATTCAAAAGACAAGGCAAAAGTAACCTGTCACTATTGTGAAAAACTGAAGAATTATTTCAGATGAAAGAGAAATGATGGCCCTAGCCAGTTTGGCTCAGTGGATAGAGTGTCAGCCTGCGGACTGAAGGGTCCCAGGTTCAATTCTGGCCAAGAGCACATGCCCAGGTTGTGGGCTTGATCCCCAGTGGGGGGCATATAAGAAGCCGCCAATCAATGATTTTCTCTCATCATTGATGTTGCTCTCTCTCTTTTCCTCTCCCTTCCTCTCTGAAATCATAAAAGAAATATATTTTAAAAAAAGAGAGAAATGATGATTAAATATATGATCCTAGATTGGAAAAAAAATGGTTGCTATATTATAGGACAATATTGGGATAATCAGTAAAATCTGACTATGGACATTATATTATAATTCATGCACAGGTGGGGTCTGACCAGGACGATCAGGCTGGCCAGCCAGGGAGAGGGGCCACAGGCAGTTGGCCGGGTGGCCCTGCCCTCTGGTCGAACTCCCAGTTGAACTTCTGGCCAAACTCCAGGCTGAGGGGACAATTTGCATATTATCCTTTTATTATATAGGATAACACTATTGAATCAATGTTAAATTCCCCAAATTTCATCACTGAATTGAAGTTCTATAAGAGAATGTTTTTGTGTTTAGTTCAGATACAGATGGAAGTATTTAGGGGTGAAGGATCATGATCTTTGCAATTTGCTCTCAAATGTAACAAACAAAAAAGAAGAGTCAGAATGACACACACACACACAGAGTGGCCAGATTATTATGACCACCTGATGTTTGTAGGCAAATTAGCCGTACACTGCATCTTATGGGATATGGAAGCCGAAGGCCTGTTCAAACACCTTTGCTGTCTGCAGTTACCAAGATAAAACATCTCCAATTCGCACAGGAACACAAGGATCGGACAGTTGAGCATTGGGAAAAAGTCATGTAGTCCGATAAATCACGTTTCCAGTTGCATCATGCAGATGGCAGAGTGAGAATTTGGCAGAAACAGCATGAAAGCATGCACCCCATATGCATGAGTACAACCCTTCAAGCTGGTGGGGGCAGTGTTATGGTTTGGGGCATGTTTTCCTGGCATGATTTGGGCCCTTTAATTCGTGTGGAACAACGTCTGAACAACACAACATACCTAAGTATAGTTGCTGATCAACTTCATCCTATCATGTTGATGGCGTATCCCAATGGAGATGGCTTCTTCCAACAAGACAATGTGCCATGCCACGGTGCTCATATTGTGCGGGAGTGGTTTCAAGAACATGAAGGAGACTTTACCTTGCTTAGGTGGCCCCCACAATCACCAGATCTCAATCCAATTGAGCATTTGTGGGATGAAGTTAAAAGAGCCATCAGGCACCTGGTTCCACAACCATCAAATCTCACAGAATTGGACAGTGCTATTGATCAGGCATGGTGTCAGATTCCTCGCATCACCTTTCAACATCTCGTGGAGTCAATGCCAAGAAGAATCGCCGCAGTATTGAAGGCAAAAGGTGGCCTAACAAAGTACTAATGGGGTGGTCATAATAATCTGGCCACTCATCATAATATATATCCCACATTCAAAGGCTGTTAAATCATTTTGTTTACCCATATCTTCAGAAAAGAAATCACTTCTAATGTCGTGGTAAACAACTGGCTTCCCTATTTATAATGGTCTGGCCCTCTAGCAACTTCAGCGCAAAATTACAGGTAATTTGCCTACAAACGTCAGGTGGTCATAATAATCTGGACACGCAGTGTGTGTATGTATGTATGTATACATATAGATACATACATACACACATATAGATATGTATCTAGAGAGAGAAATATGGTAAATTATTAACTATTAACAATGGGTGAATTTCAATTGTTTATAGGAGATTGTTTTAGATGCCTTGCAACTTTTCTGTAGGTCTGAGATTGTTTCAAAAAGTTTAAATAGGCAATGTTATTGAAGTAATGAAACTTAAGAACATACGGAGAAATGACCCAATCAGCCAAATTAATCCTTTTAAAGATCCTTTTTTTTTATACACTAAGTAATAGTGATGTAAAGTGCATTGCTGCTCAAAGAAAGAGAGAGAGATCACAAAAGAAAGAGAGAGAGGGAGGGAGGGAGGCAGGAAGGTGTGTTAGGCTATACACAGTCCTCGGGCTACGTCGGCACGTACGTCATTTTGTGGTTATATCACCATCTCCCATTTATTAAAAAAAAAAAAATTCCATCATTTCGATGTATGTACATATGTGCTTTATGTTTTTTATTATTTATTTACCACGAGTAAAGGTCAGGAATTGTCATCTTTCTTTTAATTTTTTTTTTTTACTGTTTCACTTCATTACTGCTGTGTATGTGCTCCATGTGAGTGCCGTAGGTGCTTATGTAGGTGGGTTCCGACTTACAGCGAAAATCGCTTTACGTTGCACCATAGGAACCACAGAAACCATAGGAATGGATCTCCGACATAACCCGAGGACCTACTGTATCCTTCTGTGAATGGCCACTATTTAGCTGTAAAGCCAGATTTTCATAATTATCTTACCTTAATCCACACTGTTTCATTAATAAAGCTGAATGGTATGGATGGATTATCTGGTGTCTGCTTGTTTAGAATACTGAAATTAATGGACTCTTTGGCAATTCGGGGTGGAGTCCCAGTCTTCAATCTTCCCACAACAAACCCCAACTTCTCTAGAGTCTGAGCCAACCCAATGGAAGGCTGGTCTCCTAAACGTCCTGCCGGATGCATTTCCAATCCAATTACAATCATGCCTCTCAGAAATGTCCCAGCAGTCAGAATCACGCTGTCTGCATATACTTTGCTTCCATCCACTAAAGGACAGGAAAGACAGTAAAAATCATGTTCTAATTGTACTATGGATCAAACTGAAATCTGACTACTTTACATTAGTACAGAAAAACTTTCTCTTTAGAAACCTGAGAAATAATTTCAAATGAGTAAGAAGGCTACATGTTATCAATCTCTAGAATCCAAGAAAGTTGGGAGGGAGAACATAATGTACTATCATCTATTCATATGTTCCTAAAATTATACCAGCACAGAAAAAGATTAAATCAATTGATTTAAAAAATTAATTAATGTAAGACTTCTGGTTACCAGTAAATCTGATAGACTACCTCATATAATTCCTTCTTCCTCCTGAAACTTCAAGAAAATGAAATAAAGGGGCAAAAGGGGTATAAAACCACAAGGACAATGAATGGGAGAGAGCTTGCCAAAAGATGAGACATTTAAAAATATTTTTAGAAGACAAAGTGGTTGGAAAAGTGATTAATGATCTAGCAAATGGGAGAACACTATAAATCAAGAATCTGAAGAGAATACACCAGTGGGGATGAACTAATTAGCTCTACAAAGCCCAGAAATGGGAAACTGAGGAATGTAGGAATGAAGCTTGGGGCTGAAATTAAGAGAAATAGTTGAAATCTACACATAAAGGTTATATCTGCAGACAATTCCTTACAGGAAAACTAGGTTTATTTTTTGGGTAATGGGGAGTTACTGTTTAATGCAAACAGTTTCAATTTAGGATGATGAGAAAGTTCAGAAAGTTCGGGAAATGGATAGTGGTGACAGTTGTACAATATCGTGGATGGACTTAACAGCACTGAATTGTACACTTAAAAATGGCTAAAATGGCCCTTGCCAGTTTGGCTCAGTGGATAGAGCGTCAGCCTGTGGACTCAAGGGTCTCAGGTTCGATTCCGGTCAAGGGCATGTACCTTGGTTGCGGGCACATCCCCAGTAGGGAGTGTGCAGGAGGCAGCTGATCGATGTTTCTCTCTCATTGATGTTTCTAACTTTCTATCCCTCTCCCTTCTTCTCTGTAAAAAATCAATAAAATATATTAAAAAATAAAACAAAATAAAATGCCCAGCTGGAGTGAATCAATTGGTTGAGCATTGTCCTGTGCATCAAAAAGTTCCTGGTTCGCCGAAACCGGTTTGGCTCAGTGGATGGAGCGTCGGCCTGCGGACTGAGGGGTCCCAGGTTCGATTCCGGTCAAGGGCATGTACCTGGGCTGCGGGCATATTCCCAGTCGGAGATGTGCAGGAGGCAGCTGATCGATGTTTCTCTCTCATCGATGTTTCTAGCTCTCTATCTCTCTCCCTTCCTCTCTGTAAAAAATCAATAAAATATATATATATATAAAAAAAAAAAAGTTCCTGGTTCAATTACCGGACAGGGCACATACACCTAGGTTGTGGGTTCAATCCCTGGTTGGGGCACATATGGGAGGCAACCGATTAATATTTCTCTCTCATATTGATGTCTTTCTCCACCTCCCCACCCCCACTTTCCTCTCTTTAAGCATGTCCTTAGGTGAGGATTTTTTGTAAAAAGGCAGGCCCGGCCAGTGTAGCTCAGTGGTTGATTGTCAACCCAGGAACCAACAATAGGTTGCAGGCTTGATCCCCAGGAGCGGGATGTGCAAGAGGCAGACAATCAATGATGTTCCTCTCTCATCGATGTTTCTATCTCTCTATCCCATTCCCTTCCTCTCTCTCTAAAAATCAATAAAAACATATTTTTTTAAAAGGCAAATTTTATGTTATGTTTACTTCCCCATTTTGCTGGACTATATCTCCCAATAGCTTCCTAAGAAAAGATGCATGGGAAATAGGTTGTGTGAGTCCTGGTATATCTATAAATGTATTATTCTCCCCTTAGACTTGACTCTTAATTTGGCCGAGAATAGAATTCTAGTTTAAATCTTTTTTTCCCTGAGAATTTTGACAGTCTTGCTCCATTTTCTAGCTTCCAGTTTTGCTGTGAAGATCAGTGCATATTTACTTAAATTTTTTTGGATATGACTTTCTCCCCCATTTCTGAAAGCTTCTAGGACCTTATATGTGTCTCTGGTGTTCTGAAATTTTAAAATGATGTCCTCAGTGTGGTCTTGGTTCATTCATTATGTACTAAGTGTTCTCCTAAAACTAGAAATCTGTGTTACAGATTACAAAAAAAGTTACATTATTAAGCCTATAAAGTAGACAGGGTAAAACACAGCATTTAAAGATATGAAATTAAGTAATAAAAACATAAATAAAGGTATAAGGTCTATACTAATAAAAACAATATAATCATTAAATTTGAAGAGGATAGGAGGCAGAAGAGAGAAAAGGAAAATAAAATAAAATTAACTATTCATAGTGGAAAGTCAACAAACACTGACAGAAGAAAAAGATTTCGTGTATAAAAATCATAATTAAAATAATCACCAGAACAAAAATACAAGCTTCTAAAAAAGAAACATAGTTCCTAGATACAAAGCAAACACAGACTAAGTGTTTAAAAGAAAGTACAGAAAAGTGTATATGCTGTTATGTGAAACACACACACACACACGAAGATACATGTATATTCACAGGTAGAAAGACAACCCAAGACACTAGGAATGCTCCTAAAAAAGAAAACTGATTGGCTAGGGGACAGATGAGAGAGAGACCACCTTTTCACACTATGTTCTTATGTCCCCTTTAAACTGTTTACTATATATATGTATTCCCCATTTTAAAAAATTAATAAATCTATAATTTTATACTAGAGAAAGTAAGTCAAGATTTGTATTTTAAATATATTTTTATGGATTTCAGAGAGGAAGGGAGAGGGAGAGAGAGAGAGAAACATCAATGATGAGAGAGAATCATTGATCAATGCCTCCTGCATGCCCCCTACTAGGGACTGAGCCCGAAACTGGGCATGTGCCCTGACCAGGTATTGGCACTGTGACCTCCTGGTTCATAGTCTAATACTCAACAACTGAGCCACACCAGCCAGTCTCAAGATCTGTATTGTAAATGTTGAGATTCTCCAGCACAGCTCTCTCATCATTTTAAAAAATATATCTTTATTGATTTCAGAGAAGAAGGGAGAGGGAGAGATAGAAACATCAATGATGAGAGAGAATCAATGATCAGCTGCCTCCTGCACACCCTCAACTAGGGATCGAGCCCGCAACCCAGGCATGTGCCCTTGACCGGAATCGAAACCGAGACCCTTTAGTCGGCAGGCTGACGCTCTATCCACTGAACAAAACTGGCCAGAGCTCATCATTTTTTAAAACTGATTTTTAGAGAGAGGGGAAGGGAGAGGGAGAGAGAGGGAGAAAGAGGGAGAAAGAGGGAGGAAGGGGGAGAGAGAGATAGAGAGAGAGAGAGAGATATCAATGTGAGAGCAAAACATCAATTGGTTGCCTCCTGTATGCTCCCTGGGACCCGCAACCAAGGCATGTGCCCTGACTGGGAATCGAACTAGCAACCTTTTGGTGTACATAAATGAAAACAAAAATTTAAAAAATTAATTACAAAGATTTGGAAAATAAAGTTAAGGAAATCTCCTAAGAAAGTACGACAAAATGACAAAATGTACAAATAGAAAAAAACCTAGAAGACTAATCCAGGAAAGGATAGGAGTTACAAGAGAGCATGGAGAAATAATAGAAGAAAATACCTCAGATATCAAGGACACAGATTTCTAGTTTCAGGAGAACACTTAGTACATAATGAATGAACCAAGACCACACTGAGGACATCATTTTAAAATTTCAGAACACCAGAGACACATACAAAATCCTAGAAGCTTTTAGAAGGGGGTGGGGGGAGTCTATATACAAAAAAATTTAAGTAACTATGCACTGATCTTCACAGCAAAACTGGAAGCTAGAAAATGGAGCAAGACTGTCAAAATTCTCAGGGAAAAAAAAGATTTAAACTAGAATTCTATTCTCGGCCAAATTAAGAGTCAAGTCTAAGGGGAGAATAATACATTTATAGATATACCAGGACTCACACAACCTATTTCCCATGCATCTTTTCTTAGGAAGCTATTGGGAGATATAGTCCAGCAAAATGGGGAAGTAAAAAGGAGACAGACTGAAGTTCCAGTAAATAAGGAAGGGATGATGTAACACAGCAGAGTAGTAAAAGGAAGTTGAAAAGGACATCTGTGGCCCTAGCCAGTTAGGATAGAGCATTGCCCTGCGGACTGAAGGGTCCCGGATTCGATTCTGGTCAAGGGCACATGCTGGAGTTGTGGGCTCGATCCCCAGTAGTGGGTGTGCAGACAGCAGCTGATCAATGATTCTCTCTCATCATTGATGTTTCTATCTCTCTCCCTCTCTCTTCTTCTCTGAAATCAATAAAATACATTAAAAAGAAAAAAAGCACATCTGTGGCCCTGGCTGACGTGGCTCAGCAGCTAGGGCATTGGCCCTGCACGGAAGGGTCTCGAGTTTGATTCCCAGTCAGGGGCATGTGCCTGGGTCCCTGCCCCCTCCACTCTAAAAATCAATGGAAAAAACATCCTTGGGTGAGGATTAACAACAACAAAAATGACATCTGTGCAGAAGGCCTAGAGAGCAATTGTCCTGATTATAGCAGTAAATTGTGGGGGATTCGGAAGTTGATATTTTTGGAAGGGAAGCATTACAGAAAACAACAGAATTGATAAATTATTTGAGCACTGAGTGTTTTTTTAAAAAAATATATTTTATTAACTTTTTACAGAGAGAAAGGGAAAGGGATAGAGTTAGAAACATCGATGAGAGAGAAACATCGATCAGCTGCCTCCTGCACACCCCCTACTGGGGATGTGCCCACAACCAAGGTATATGCCCATGACTGGAATCGAACCTGGGACCCCTCAGTCCGCAGGCTGACGCTCTATCCACTGAGCCAAACTGGTCAGGGCATGAGTTTTTTTCTGATGAAAAAGTTGAACAGGTCAGGTACACAGGTAAAATAAGTAAATAAAAAATAAAGCAATTATTAACCCAAGGCAAAAAAAAAAAGAGGTATATAACATAATACACTACTTGAACCTGTAGTGAACAATATTCAAATAATCATAATAATATAAATATTATCAACCAAAATTTATGGTATAATTATACTGGAAGGATAGAAGGAAGGAAAGCAGGAGATTAAAGAGAGCTACCATATCCCTAGCCAATTTGGCTCAGTGGATAGAGTGTCGGCCTGAGGACTGAAGGGTCCCAGGTTCGAATCTGGTCAAGGACACATACCAGGGTTGTGGGTTTGATCCCCAGTAGGGGGTATGCAGGAGGCAGCCAATCAATGATTCTCTCTCATCATTGATGTTTCTATCTCTCTCTCCCTCTTTGAAATGAATAAAAATATATTTAAGAATAAAAAAATAGAGTTACCATAAAAAAGTTAATAGATAATGTTTAAGACTGATAATTTAGGGGATAAAAATATAAGCTTATTGTTGAGAAATATGTTAAGTATAGATCAGAAGTGACAGTTAAAAAAACTGAACTATTAGGTTTATAGAGGGGATACAGAAAATAAACATGTATCTATACACATTTTTCTAAGTACATTCTTTTTAAAAAATATATATTTTATTAATTTTTTACAGAGAAGAAGGGAGATGGATAGAAAGTTAAAAACATTGATGAGAGAGAAACATCAATGAGCTGCCTCCTGCACACATCCTACTGGGGATGTGCCTGCAACCAAGGCACATGCCCTTGACCGGAATCAAATCCGGGACCTTTCAGTCCACAGGCCAACGCTCTATCCACTGAGCCAAACCGGTTAGGGCTATCCACATTTTTAAATTCTACTTGATTTTTATAAAAGGTAGGTGCATGTGCTATTTTGATTAAAAAATTAATACATAACCCTTTTAAATATAAAACATGTAATAATCTTATAAATATAAGCTTTAAAGATTTAAGGTCAGAACTAGGAAAAATAAAAAGTACAACAGAAAAACCAAGAGAAAAAAGACACAATTATTCAGGCTAAAGTCCTACACGTGGTATAGATGAGCCCAAAATTTGACTAAGCTTCACAAATGCCAAAATGAAAGAATTATGATCTTTTTATACATTTTCCTCATTCATGAAAACACAACAATTTCCTAGAATAAGTAAAACATCCCCATACTCTGCTCTGAAATAAACTGCTTACACGGAGCCTGATACTGTTATTATTATCTATAACTAGTACATACCCAAAACAACACCACTGACACGGCATTTCCCAGTGTGCTCAGGTTCTGGTTCTGTAAGTATAAGATCTTCTACAGCTCCCTCCTGAACCGTAAGCAGTGGTGTATTTAGGATTTCTTTCTGTCAAAAGAGAGTGCAAGTTGAAACAACAGTTAAATGATCACTACAATCTCTCCTGTTTTTGTGCCTTATTCTCACCTGCATGTTCTGTTTGTAGAGTTTCCTATCAATTTGAGCTCTCAGACCCCAAACAGCTGGTCCCTTACGCCGGTTTAATACTTTGTAATGTACACCAGACTGGTCACAGATTCGGGAACACAGGCCATCTAAAGCATCCACTTCCCTCATTAAATGCCCCTTTCCGATACCACCAAAGGAAGGATTACAGGACATCTGACCTAAAGAAAATAGACAAAATAAATATATGAGCACCTTGCAACAGTGAGTGCAATAGAAAATTGTTTGTACAAGTGGCTAGAATCAGCTCATGTGATAAAAAAAATAAGAGACTTGAAACAAACACTAAAAAGAAAATTCCAAAGTCCCAATAGGGTATAATTCAGGGCATTCTGGAAGACAAACCTTTGCCTGTAGTTTCCTTTCAATCTTTTCCTTGATGCATATTTTATTTCTTTAGGTTGCCTTTTCCTTTAAAATGTGGTTTTTGAAATCTTTACCTCATGAAACCTTTCCAAATCAAGAATACTTTAGAAGTACCTTGGCACTGGTTCACTGTTATAATCAATTATATCTTCTATAAATGCCATCTGTTTTCTTTTTTGCTTATTTTGCAGAAATAAGTAAGTTATAAGTTTCTTCAAAGTAAAAACCATATTTTATAGCTTTTCTTTAAAATTCCCTAGTCTTATTTGGAAGTCTGGATACTGCTACTCATCAAAATGACTTACCTTTATTTTTTAATTGATTTGAGAGAGAGAGAGAGAGAGAGAGAGAGAGAGAGAGAAACATCAATTTATTGTTTCACTTATTTATGCACTCATTGGTTGATTCTTGTATGTGCTCTGACTGGGGATCAAACACAACCTTGGTGTATCGGGGAAGATGCTCTAACCAACTGAGCAATTGGGCCAGGGATAATGATGTAGCTTTTAATATCCATTATATATCAGTTAATTTTACAGAAATTTCTGAATCCTACTAATTTCTGACATGTTCTCAAACTTTGATCCCCAGAAATGAGTCTCCTCATACACAGAAGGGGGAAAAAACAGAACACCTAAAATACCAGAAATTATTGAAATTCCACTACTTTTTTTATTAAAATATATTTTTATAGATTTCAGAGAGTAAGGAAGAGGTACAGAGAGACAGAAACATCAATGATGAGAGAGAATCATTGATCGGCTGCCTCCTGCATGTTCCGCACTAGGGATCAACCTGCAACCCGAGCATATGTCCTGATTGGGAATCGAACAGTGACTTCCAGTTTCATAGGTTGACGTGCAACCACTGAGCCATGCTGGCTTGGCTCCACTACTTTCTTATATCCCTAAACTAGAGAACTTCTAGGCACTTTATTAAATTAGTGTAACTATATTATAAACCTATTTATAAAATTTACGTTTGTGAAAGTCAAATGCAAAGAAATCCTCATGTTTTTAAATTGCTGAAAACTTTTTCTCAAAGAAATGTGTGCCTATAAGGAGCTTCTCCTTATAGGCACTGTTGAACATGTCACTCTCTTTTGCTTAGTCCTCCAAATTTTTCTCAACAGAGAACTCTAGGAAGCCAGCATTCATTCCCAATCATTTGGAGTTGGAATAAGATCTACTAAATCATCTGTGCTCTTAAATAGAGGCTACTAACATCCCAAGTGTGGCACCAGTACCTGGGGTGGGCAGTGGTAGTAGAAATGTATAAAGAGGTAAATTTTTCACTCTACTAAAAAATTTAAGTCAGCTATGTAGAAAAGCTCATGGTAAAACAACAGTTAACAACTGACCACTTAATATGGGCCAGCCATTATCCTAGGTGAGTTGTATGTATTTTTCTAACTTAAACTTTCTGACTTAAACCTGATGAAGTTGATACTATTACTTCTATTTCATGGAGAAAGAAAGTGAGGCTTAGATAAACTGTCCCTTGCCAAGGTCACCCAGATAACACATAGCAGAGCCTAGAATAAAATTCAGAAAGTCGCCGAAACCGGTTTGGCTCAGTGGATAGAGCGTCGGCCTGCGGACTGAGGGGTCCCAGGTTCGATTCCGGTCAAGGGCATGTACCTGGGTTGCGGGCACATCCCCAGTAGGGGATGTGCGAGAGGCAGCTGATCGATGTTTCTCTCTCATCAATGTTTCTAACTCTCTATCTCTCTCCCTTCCTCTCTGTAAAAAATCAATAAAATATATTTAAAAAAAAAATTCAGAAAGTCTAACCGTCTCTTAATGGACAACATTCTCCATGAAATCCATAGATGATACAGCATAGAATAGACAGGCTCAGAAGGCTAGTCTTTTATGGTGAAAGGCAAAATATAACTTTGCCAAAAAACATTATTTTCCAGGTGAGTGTGAAAATAGAAGACTTTCTTTCCACCTCTGACTTCACCATTGGCAAATGGTATGACTGAATCATAGCAGGACAAATCTTGCAGTTCAACCTACTAAGCCAAAGCTATCTTTATGAGGTCACACAGAAATATCTAATACTCCACTAGAGCGAATTACCTTAGGAAATAAAACCTTGATTTTAAGATAGAATTGTTATTCACTAAGGTCACCTGTAAGAGTTATTAAAGTATCTCTGAAATGTATTTACTTTTAAAACTTATATTTTGTTGAGAATGAGTTTTGATAGGAATCCCTTTATCCCTGACAGAACTACATAATATACTATATAATGATCACTTTAGTTCAATAATACTTTTTCGTTCATTAGATTTTTGTTATTATTATTGAAAGGTAGTACTATAAGCAATATTGTACAATAAGCTAAGAGTAATTTTTTTTGGAAATCATATCGTTCCTCTCCAAACGAATCACAGTTAAACAGTGTATATTTCTCCACAGTTATGACCTGGATGGCAATTTTAAAAACGTATTTCAGTATACAAATATGTGATTTATTCACAACTTTTACAAAGCGCAGTTAATATTGTAATTGATCTTCACTCCTAAGTAAAATTCAGGAGGAAAGACATAGGCATGCATAACTTACCAGATACTGTTTTGGCTAGCATCTATCATGATGCAAGAGAGCGATCTAGCGCCCTACCTGGTTTGGCTCCGTGGATAGAGCATCGGCCTGGGGACTGAAGAGTCCCAGGTTCGATTCCGGTCAAGGGCACATGCCCGGGTTGGGGGCTTGATCCCCAGTAGGGGGCGTGCGGGAGGCAGCCAGTCAATGATTCTCCCTCATCACTTTCTAATCTCTCTTTCCCTCTCCCTTCCTCTCTGAAATCAATATACTTGAGAGAGAGAGAGAGAGAGAGAGAGAGAGAGAGAGAGAGAGAGAGAGAGAGATAGATCTAGGCCTAGCAGATTTGGCTCCGTGGATAGAGCATTGGCCTGTGGCCTGAAGGGTCCTGGTTCCATTCGGGTCAAGGGCATGTACCTCAGTTGAAGGCGCTGAGCTCTATCTATCCCCGGCCCTGGTCGGGGCAGGCGTGGGAGGGAACCAATCACAAAACCGGGGAACAAACATCCAGCAGAAATATAGAATGCAACAAGAGGTAAACGATCACTAATAATGCTAGCTCACTCCTTATCCAAAGCAACCAGCTAGTCAAGGGTAACCGGCAGCAATGCAATCAGAAGCTACCAGCAAGCACCGTATTCTTAGTCTCCCCCTTTCCCGAGGCACCGCCCCCACATCCTCCAGGCAACCGCTTTGGTGGGCAGCAGCACAGTCCGTGGTCCCCGGCACAGCTGACCCGGAGTGCGGACCCGGCCCGCCTGTTCCGCGAGGCACAAATCGGGCTTAAACCGCCGACCCCAGGATCCTCGCCAGGCTTGCGGGAGGGAACAGGCTGCCCACACCCGGCACTGGAGGGGGGAGAAGGGGACGGGTTATTCTCGACGTGCGTCCTACGCAAAGCGCCACGGCGGCCGGGCCCCTCACCGATCGTGTCCACGCGGTGCGTGAGGAGCAGCGTTCGGGAGCCGCACCGCGCGGCCGCGGCGGCTGCCTCCGTGCCCGCGTGCCCTCCGCCGACCACCACCACGTCGTAGTGCGGGGCCCAGGGCGCAGCGCTGTCGCCGCGGAGCCGGGCGGGCGGAAGGTGCTGTTTGGCGAGGGAGGCCGCGACCCAGCGACCGCAGCCTCGGAGAGAGAACATGGCTGGAGGCGGCAGAGTCTGCCTGACTCCAAACCTGACACGAGCGACGCGCAATCGTAAAGGGCACCGGCGTGAATCTCCAGGGCGCCACCACCTACTCTGACGTCACGGCGTAGCACGTCTCCGTCCAGCGTCGCCGCTGATTGGCGGTTTGGCGCGACTTGCCTAGTAAATCCAGACCCGGTCCCGCGCTGGTGGCTCCTGGGACGTGCACCTGGGTTGTGTGACCCTCTGAGGCTCCGGAGTGAGAGGCATTGATTTATTGTTCCGCTTCTTTCTGCACGCATTGGGACTTTCTTATATAGGGTGCCCCAAAATTCACGCAAGATTTGAATTTTGCGTGAGCATTAACAACAACAACAAAAAAATAAAAGCCTAATTTTACTTGGTTTATTAAATCAGATTCTAATATCTGTTCCCTTTGATTTCAATCCCTTCAATTTGATAAGAGTTACCAAGTACCAATTATGGCCCAGGAGCAGGGACAATGAAGACCAATGAAGACCACAGCTTTGCGTATGTGCCAGCAAAGCCGTGGAGGCCATTTACCCAATGTGCTATTCCATACATAACCCTATACTGTATACTTTATGAATCAATAAAAAATTTACAATTTTTTAATTATAAACCTGTGTTTTCTATCAAAATTACTTCTTGCGTGAGTTTTGGGACACCCTATATGTGCCCTGACTGAAGATGGAACCTCCACCATGGCATATGGAGAGGGTGCTCCAAGCAACTGAGTTACCCAGCCAGGGCCTTATTTTTCTCCCCTTTTCAATTCAACTTAGCATCTTCTATTATCTGTTTATTGGCTGTTTGGCCAAGCCAAAATGTAAGCTTCAGGAGGGCAAGGATGATCTTTGTTTACCAAGAACCTAGAATAGTAGATGCTCAAACACTTCTTGAGTGACTAAGTAAATTACTGAGACAAACATGAAACATAAAGGATTAGATGTAAAATCAAGTAGGGCCCTAGCCGGTTTGGCTCAGTGGACAGAGCTTCGGCCTGTGGACCGAAGGGTCCCAGGTTTGATTCCAGTCAAGGGCACCATCTCGGTTGCAGGCTCCTCCCCATCCCAGACCCTGGTCAGGGTGGGGGGGAGGCAACCAATTGATGTGTTTCCCTCGCATTGATATTTCTGTCTTTCCCTCTCTTCCACTCTCTCTAAAAATCAATGGGAAAATGAATCTCTGCTGTTATTTTTCTTCTAGATAAAGTCCAAGATTCACATCAAGACAACTAAAAAGTCATTCCCTCTATGATCTGGCAAAGTGGATACTGTTGTCATCAATGACCCCTTCATTGACCTCAACTACATGGCCTACATGTTCCAGTATGATTCTACTCATCAGAAGTTCAAAGGCACAGTCAAGGCTGAGAACTGTAAGCTTGCCATCCATGTCCATCTTCTAGGAGCCAGATCCCACCACCATCAAAAGGGTTGATGCTGGTGTTGAATATGTTGTGGTGTCTGCTGGTATCTTCACTACCTTGGAGAAGGCTGGGGCTCACTTTAACAGTGGAGTCAAGAGGGTCATAATCTTTGTCCCTTCTATGGGTGCTGCCATGTTTGTGAAGGGGATAGAATCATAACAAGTGTGACAACTCCCTCAAGATGGTCAGCAGTGCTTCCTGCACTACCAGCTGCTTGGTCCCCCTGGCCAAGGCCATCCATGACAACTTCGGCATCGTAGAGGGACTCATGACCACAGTCCATGCCATCACTGCCACCCAGAAGACCATGTGTCAGGGCCAGCCTGACAGGGTTGAGCCGGGCTGAGGCAGGGAGGTGGGAATTGAGAAAAGAAAGAAAGACAGGAAAGCGAGGTCGGGAGGACCCCAGTTCTCAAAGAACTGAAGCGAGTTTATTAGCTATACAATCCTATTTATACACAACACACTGAATAGGAGGTCTGTCAAGAGGAATGTATTCTTTGTTCCTCTTAATCTCTAAGGGAGAGACACAGCACAAGGACAAGTTCTCAGCACAGCATATCTCAGTAAATAGTTACAGACTTCTTGGTAAGCTATGAAACGCTGTTCTCATTCTACAAATGTTGCTTTCATTCTACTGATAATCACCATCCAAACAAGTCTGGGAAAACTATGTGGGTAAGGGTCCCAGCCTTGCTAGCCCCTTCAGGTGCAAGGACCTTGCCAGCTTACATATGGCCCCCAACCACCATGGATGGCCCCTCTGGGAAGCTGTGGTATGATGGCTGATGGCCTGCCCAGAACATCACCCCTGCTTCTACTGGTGCTGCCAAAGCTGTGGGTAAGGTCATCCCTGAGCTGAATGGGATGCTCACTGTCATGGCCTTCTCTGTCCCCACCCCCAATGTGTCAGTTGTGGATCTGATCTGCCACCTGGAGAAAGCTGCCAAATATGATGACATCAAGAATATAGTGAAACAGAGGGGCCCCTCAAGGGCATCCTGGTTATACTGAGGACCAGGTTGTCTCCTGGGACTTTAACATTGACACCTACTCCTCCACCTTTGATGCTGGGGCTAGCATTGCTCTCAATGACCACTTTGTCAAGCTCATTTCCTGGTTTGACACTGAATTTGGCTACAGCAACAGGGTGGACCTTATGGTCCACATGGCCTCCAAGGAGTTAGAGCCCCCTGGACCACCAGCCCCAACCAGAGGAAGAGAGACCCTCAGCTGCTGGGGAGTCCTTGCCCCGACTCAATTCCCCAACACACTGAGAATCTCCTGACTTCCACAGTTTTCATCTCAGGCCCCCTGCAGAAGAAGGGGAGGGCTTAGGGAGCCCTACTTTGTCACACACCATCAAAAAAGTTCACTGCACCCAGCCAAAAAAGAAACAATTAAAAATAAATATTTATTACAATTACAGTAATCTTAATCTTGTTTAGTCTTGTAAAAGATGAACATTTACTTCACATTAATTTAAAAAAGGAACCCTTATTCAACTTATATAGAAAAAGTTTGTGAACTTCAATGGGCGAGAAAGCTTGTAGTTTTCCACAATTCTTTTAGGTGGCATGCCAGCAAATGCGTCGGGCTGTCAGTACTGCCGAGGGTGTTTGCAGCTTCTCTCAGGTTAGCTTTTTGCCTTGGAGCAGAACATTAGCCTCTCTCCAGGACCGGGGCGTGGCTCCCAGGCCGCGCTCCCGCGTGGGGTCACATTTCCTGCGCGTGCTCCCTGACCGCGCCGCTGCCTTCCCGCCAGACTTCAAGTTTTAAGTTTCATTTCCAGTCACTGGCCGAGACTGCAGGTTCCTCTAACCGCGGCCCTTTCGCGAAGCCGAGTCTATTTTCCAGGAGCAGAGAGCGCCAGCCATGGATCCTCGGAGCGGAAAGGCGACGCGGACAGCTTCGAAGGCGGGAGCCGCCACCCCCAAGATTTTGGCGCAGAGTGCGAAGGGCGCCCCGACGAAACCCTCGTCGACGAAGCCCACCCAGACGAAGCCCGTCGAGTGTCCGGTTGTCCCCGAAGCTGTCCAGCCCAACGAGCAGAATTGCAGCTCCTCGAGAGCGTCGGGGAACCAGCGGAAGAAGAGCCCCCCGGGCTCCCGGGAGAGACCGCAGGTCCGCGCGCGGGGTGCGCGCACCGAGAAGGCCCCTCTGAGCGGCGACGCGGTGAACGGGCACACGGATCTGGCCGAGGCGCCGGAGCCGCCCTTTCCCAGAGCTAGATCCCGCCGAAAAGGGAGTGCATGTGCCAAGACGGCGCCTCTGAGCGGTGACGCGGTGGACGGGCACACGGATCTGGCCGAGGGGCCGGAGCCGCCCTTTCCCAGAGCTAGATCCCGCCGAAAAGGGAGTGCATGTGCCAAGACGGCGCCTCTGAGCGGTGACGCGGTGGACGGGCACACGGATCTGGCCGAGGCGCCGGAGCCTCCCCTTCCCAGAGCTGGATCTCGCCGAAAAGGGAGTGCATGTGCCAAGACGGCGCCTTTGAGCGGTGACGCGGTGGACGGGCACACGGATCTGGCCGAGGGGCCGGAGCCGCCCTTTCCCAGAGCTGGATCTCGCCGAAAAGGGAGTGCATGTGCCAAGACGGCGCCTCTGAGCGCCCAGGACGCCTTGAACGGGCAGGCCGGTCTGGCCCAGGAGCCGGAGTCGCCCCTTCCCAGGGCTGGATCTCGCCGAAAAGGAGGTGCATGCACCCAGAAGGCGCCTCTGAGCGGTGACGCGGTGGACGGGCACACGGATTTGGCTAAGGCTCCGGAGCCTCCCGCGGCTCCGGAGCCACCCCTTCCCAGAGCTGGATCTCGCCGACAAGGGAGTGCATGTGCCAAGACGGCGCCTCTGAGTGCCCAGGACTCCTTGGACGGGCAGCCGGGTCTGGCCCAGGAGCCGGAGTCGGCCCTTCCTAGGGCTGGATCCGCGCGCCCTGCTGGGGAGCGGAGACCTCCGTCCAGGCCAACGGAGGACGCCGGCCAGGATCCGCTGGTTCCAGCCTCTGGTCTGGGCCGGAGGGGTGCGGTGCCGGGCGCCTGGAAGCTCGGGGCGGTGCTGAAGAAGCTGAAGCTACGTAGCGCAGAAATCTCAGAAGCCGCGGAGGTTGTAAACAGGGTCGTGGACCACCTGCTACGAGGACTGAAGAGCGGCTGGTCCGAGTTTAAAGGTGTGGAGTTGCTTGGCACTGGGAGCTACTACGAGCAAGTGAAGGTGAGTGCCAATCGCCTGCCCTCCCGTGCCCTAGGCGCGCGCCCGGCTTCCTCACCCCTCTTCTAACCTCCCCGATATTCCCCATCTCCTATGGTTCCTCACTTTACGTTGTAAGAAACTCAGACTAGTTCTTACGTTCTAATTAAAACGACATACCTTTGTTCTTTCGTTTATTCATCACTACATCCAAGGAACATAGAGCCAACCTATATTGATTGCTAGCCACTGTTTTGGGGGGAATTCAAATGTATAGATTCATTCATGTAAGCAGACCTGCATTGTGTTTCTCCAACAGTGTTATACTTGGTAATTTCTGGTCAGATTATGACTTGGATAAAAATTAGGAGTGTGATCTGCGAAATACCCACAAAATTAATATATCTAAGAAACCTTTTTTCTATGAGGATTTTTGTACTGCAAAAGAAAAATATTTTCAGTCTCTCCCTCCAGCCCCTGCGAACCCACTCTTTCTCTCAATTTCTTATTTAGATGTTATGGGAAGCTCCCAGTGAATGATGTTAAAAGTAAATTAAGAGAAAATCTCCTACAGGTAGTAAAAAGCATTCTTCCTAAATACACATCAGATGGAACTATTTTTAAGTGTGTATTCCACAGCTCCATTTGTCTGTGGGTGGTTGTCATTAAAGCCATCATTCCAGTATAAATGGAAGGTTTAGGAGCAGGTTTCTGACTGGAGTTTGTTTCCTGATCAGTGGCAGTGATGAAAGTGGACCACCTTGTCGTGTTCTTGATCTTAAAGAAAATGCTTTTGGCTTTCCCCTGTTGAATATGATGTCAGCTGTGTGTTTGTCATATACGGGCTTTTATTAAGTTGAGGTATGTTCCCTTTATTGCTACTTTGTTGAGTTTTATCATAAATGGATGCTGTATTTTGTCAAATGCATTTCTGCATCTTTTGATATGGTCATATGGTTTTTATCCTTCATTTTGCTTATCACATGGTATATCATAATAATTGATTTGCAGATATTAAACCAACCTTGCATCCCAGGAATAAATACCACTTGATCATGTTGTATGATCTTTTTAATATATTGCTGAATTTGGTTTGCTAACATATATGTATACATACACACACACACACACACACACACACACACTAATAAAAGACAAAGATGCTAATTGACCGTACCTTCACTATGCCCACCAGCCAATCAGAAGAGTATGCAGATTAACCCAACAAAGATGGCCGTTAAATTTGCATACTGCAGGTGGGGCGGGCAGTGCCGGATGCCACCCGGGGAGGTGGAGCCAGCAATCACCCTGGTCAGAAGCCTGAGGCCTGGGAAGGGGCGGAGCTGGCAATCACCTGGGGCTGGGGGTCCCATGCCCAGGCCTAACACCCTGGCCAGAGGCCTGAGGCCTGGGTAGGGGCAGAGCCGGCGATCGCCCGGTGCTGGGGATCCTCTGCCCAGGCCTAATGCCCCAGCCAGAGGCCTGAGGCCTGGGAAGGGGCAGAGCCTGCAATCAGAGCAGGCTGGGAATCCCCTGCCCAGGCCTAATGCTCTGACCAGAGGCCTGAGGCCTGGGCATGGGAAGAGCGGGCCATTGGAGCGGGCTGGGGGTCCCCTGCCCAGGCCTATGGCCCGGGCCAGAGGCCTGAGGCCTGGGTAGGCGATCGGAGCAGGCTGGGGGTCCCCTGCCCAGGCCTAATGCCCAGCCAGAGCCTGAGGCCTGTGTAGGGGCGGAGCCAGCTATCACATGGGTCTGGGGGTCCCCTGCCCAGGCCTAATTTCCCTACCAGAGGCCTGAGGCCTGGGCTGGGGCAGAGCCAGCAATTGCATGGGGCTTGGGGTCCCCTGCCCAGGCCTAACGCCCAGCCTAAGGCCTTAGGCCTGGGCAGGGGCCAAGCCGGGGATCGGTGTGAACTACAGAGGAAACACCTTTTCTGACCGCTCATTGGCTAAGCTCCCTGTATGCCACTGGTAATATTCTTAGTAACTTGGATAATAAGAATCCAAGAAAGTGATGTAGGGTTTTTCCACCTTACTCCTAGAGAAAAAAACGAAGGCCTGCTGCAGGAGGGGCTAAGAAATATCATATCCTGCCCTAGCCAGTTTGGCTCAGTAGATAATGCCTCGGCCTGCCTACCAGAGGGTCTGGGTTCAATTCTGACCAAGGGCATGTACCTAGGTTGCAGGCTCTTCCCTGGCTGGGGCCCAGGTCAGTGCTCATGCAGGAGGCAACCAATCAAAGTGTTCCTCTCACTTTGATGTTTCTCTCTGTCTTTCCCTTTCTCTTCCACATTCTCTAAAAATCAATGGAAACATATCCTCAGGTGAGGATAAAAAAAAAAATAATAAAAAAATGTCATATCCTATGAAAGACACATCTTGAAAATGCCTAAAGAAAGTTGTCATTTTTTCATGGTGAAGGGACTGGAATCAGTGTTGATGAAAACACCTTGGTGGCTGTGGTGACTGGCAGTGGCTGCAGCAGCGGGGTGCTGGGGCTGGTGCCTTCCCCTGATCAGCCTGGTCGCCTCCCACAAAGGGAGGCCAGACTGTGGCTTAGGCCCACTCCCCAAGGGGAGCAGGGAGCAGGCCTAACCCATCAGTAGGACATCCCTGAGGGCTCCCAGTATGTGAGAGGGGGCAGGCTGGGCTGAGGGACCCCCGCCCCCAGTGCATGAATTTCATGCACCGGGCCCCTAGTGTGTGTGTGTGTGTGTGTGTGTGTGTGTGTGTGTGTGTGTGTATCCTATCTAATAATAGACAAAGATTGAAATTAACCGTACCTCCGCTATGCCTCCCATTAGCTAATCAGTGAGATATGCAAATTAACCACCAACAAAGATGGTGGCTAATTTGCATACTGCAGGCAGATCCCGCTGCACTGCCCAAGGCGAGATCCTGGCCTGCCATGTCTTGGGCGGGGTGGGCGGGGGTGGGGGGGGTGGGGGAGCAGCAGCGTGATCCAAGCTGCTGTCTGCCCCAGCGCGGGATCCAGGCCTGCCGTGTCTTGGGTGGGGCAGGCAGGGCAAGCGGCAGCGTGATCCATGAGAGGGCACAGGTTGGGCTGAGGGACCCCCCCTTCCCTGCCAATGCACAAATTTTTGTGCATGGACCTTCTAGTATATATCCTATCTAATAAAAGAGAAACATGGTAATTAGCGTACAACCGCTACCCTTCCCATTGGCTAATCAGGGCAATATGCAAATTAACTGCCAGCCAAGATGGCGGCTGGCAGCCAGGCAGCTTGAAACTAACATGAGGCTTGCTTGCTTCAGTGATGGAGGACTCCAACGTTCCCCGCCTGCCGCTGCTGGCCTCTGAGCTGCAACTCTAAGCAACTATGTTACAAATATAGAAGCTAAACAAAACCCCAGAAACCTGCTTTAGTCCGCTGGGCTTCAGCCAGCAGGATCGCAACATTGTTTCAAATACAGAAGGTAAGCAAAGGCCAGAAACCTGCTTTCAGTAGCGGAGGCCTAAGAGCTGGAGCCAAGCCTCAAAGCTAAAGCTGGCCCAGAATAAAAAAAGAAAAAAGAAAAAGAGGAGCGGTTGGGAGCTTCAGTCACCCACCAGCCTGAAAACAGCCCTCAGCCCCTCACCCAGACTGGCCAGGCACCCCAGTGGGGACCCCCACCCTGATCCAGGACACCCTTCAGGCAAACCAGCCGGCACCCACCCATGCACCAGGTGTCTATACTATAGAGTAAAAGGGTAATATGCCTCCCAGCACCGGGATCAGCGGAGTTGAGAGGCCTCCCAGCACTGGGATCAGCGTGACAGGGGCCAGCGCCCAAACCCCCTGATCGTCCTGTGGCTCTGTGTGTGACAGGGGGCGGGGCCACAACCCCCCTGATGGGCCCTGCTCTGTGAGTGACAGGGAACAGTGCCCCAACCCCCTGATTGGCCCTGCTCTGTGCATGACGGGGTTGCGCCGCAACCTCCCAATCCACCCTGCTCTGTGCATGACAGGGGGCAGCACCCCAACTCCCTAATCGGCCCTGCTCTGAGCCCGACCAGGGGCTGCACCTAGGGATTGGGCCTGCCCTCTGCCACCCAGGAGCAGGCCTAAGCCAGCAGGTCGTTATCTCCCGAGGGGTCCCAGACTGCGAGAGGGCAGAGGCCGGGCTGCGGGACCCCCCCTTCCCCACCGAGTGCACAAATTTTTGTGCACCAGGCCTCTAGTATATATATATATACACACACACACACATATATATATATTGATTTCAGAGAGGAAGGGAGAGGGAGAGAGATAGAAACATTGATTTCAGAGAGGAAGGGAGAGGGAGAGAGATAGAAACATTGATTTCAGAGAGGAAGGGAGAGGGAGAGAGATAGAAACATCAATGATGAGAGAATCATTGATTGGCTGTCTCCTGCCTGCCCCTTACTGGCATGTGCCCTTGACCGGAATCGAACCTTGGACCCTTCAGTCCACAGGCCAACGCTCTATCCACTGAGCCAAACCGACTAGGGCTGGTTTGCTAATATTTTGTTGAGTTTTATATCTATGCTCATCAGGGATATTGGCCTATATTTGTGTGTGTGCAATGTCCTTGTCTGTTTTGGAAATGAGGGTAATGGTTACCTCATAAAATGAGCTTGGAAGCCTTCCTTCCTCTTGAATTTTTTGGAATAGTTTGATAAGGATAGGTGTTAGCCCTAACCGGTTCGGCTCAGTGGATAGAGCGTTGGCCTGTGGACTCAAGGGTCCCAGGTTCGATTCCGGTCAAGGGCATGTACCTTGGTTGCAGGCACATCCCCAGTAGGGAGTGTGCAGGAGGCAGCTGATCGATGTTTCTCTCTCATTGATGTTTCTAACTCTCTATCCCTCTCCCTTACTCTCTGTAAAAAAAAAAATCAATAAAATATATATATTTTTAAAAAAGGATAGATGTTAATTCTTCTTTGAATGTTTGGTAACATTCACCTGTGAAGCCATAGGTACAGGACTTTTGTTTGTTGGCAGCTTTTTGAGTACTGATTTGATTTTATTGGTTAGGTGTGTAAGGTTAGATTGTTTATTTGAGATTTTTTATTGTGTTTTTTTTTCTTGAGGTAGGCCTATATTGCTATGAATTTCCCTCTTAGGACTGAATTTGCTGTGTCCCATAGATTTGGGGTCATTTGGGTCATTGTGTTTTCATTTGTCTCAAGGTATCTTTTGGTTTCTTCCTTGATCTCATTGTTAACCTTTCGTTGTTTAGTAGCATGTTATTTAACCTCCATGTGTTTGTGTGTTTTTCAATTTTTTCTTACAATTGTTGTCTAGTTTCATACCATTGTGGTTGAAGAAGATGCTTAATAGCATCTTTTTCAATCTTTTAAAATTTATTCTTACTGTTGTATGGCCTAATATGTGGTATATACTAGAAAATGTTCCAAATGCACTTGAAAAAATGTATATTCTGCTGCTCTGGGGTGAAATGCTCTGAAGATATCAATTAAATCCATCTGGTCTAATGTGTCATGTAAGGCTGCTGTTTACTTGTTGATTTTCTGTCTGGAAGATTTATAGTTATAGTCCCCAGTGTCCTCACTGTGTTCTTTGGTATATGTACACAGAGAGAATGCAATCTTTCTCTCTTCCTCTTTTTACAAAGTCACCAATCCTGTCAGATTAGAACCACACCCTCATGATCCCATTTAACCTTAATTACCTCCTAAAAGTCCTGTTTCCAAGTACAGACACATTGGGGATTAGGGCTTCAATATCTGAATTTGGGGAGGACAGTTAAGTACACAGCACAATACATCTAAGTTTGGACTAGACACATTTCATGTGGTCAGTAGACATATGGCTGCGAAGTACCGTGTTGAACAGTGCAGTCCAATAGCTGTACCTGAAGCTTATCCTAACTAGGTAAAGGCATTTTTAATATAGTAAAAACAAGCATTTATTATAATTACTTTAGTTATTGTGAGAATGGAAAAGGTTCTTTGAAGCTTCTACAAATGCTTCTAAGACACTATTATTGTACATAACTTGGAGCTTACACTCACTTGGGTGACCAGTAGATATGAGATAACCCTTGTGCAACTAGCCAGTAGGTGAATACACACATTTTTGAGAGCATACAATGATCTCAAAATTGTAACAGGAGGGTGGCTGCAATGTGTATCTTGTGATGTGAAAGGTAGCTCCTTCCAGGTCTTTAATTTCATTAAGCTTTAAACTTAGAGTAAACCTGGTACAGATTTTAAAAGCTTACATGATATATTTTTGTTGTTGTTGTTAATGCTCACTCACCCATGGATAGTTTTCCATTGAATTTTAGGGAGAGTAGAAGAGAGAGGGAAAGACAGAGAGACATATCGATGTGAGAGAAACACATCAATAGGTTGCCTCCTGTATGAACCCTGACCAGGGCCCGGCAGGGTAGGAGCCTGCAACCGAGTGAGGTATGTACCCTTGACAGAAATCGAACCCAGGACTCTTTGGTCCGCAGGCTGATGTTCTATCCACTGAGTCAAACTGGCCAGGGCACATGATATGATTTAAAATTATTTTAAGCCTGATCAGCATGGCTCAGTGGTTGAGCAATGACCTATAAACCAGGAGGTCTCAGTTGGATTCCCAGTCAGGGCAAATGCCCAAGTTGCGGGCTCTATCCCCAGTGTGGGGTGCGAAGGAAGCAGTTGATCAATGATTCTCTCTCATCACTGATGTTTCTCTCTCTCTCTCTCTCTCTCTCTCTCTCTCTCTCTCTCTCCCCTTCCCTCTCTGAAATCAATAAAAATATATTTAAAAATAAAATAAAATTGACTTAATAATCCTGGCCAGTGTGGCTCAGTTGGGTGTGGATCCTGTGCACCAAAAGGTTGCCAGTTCCATATCCGTCCTGACATGCTAGTATGCTCAAATTGTGGGCTTGAACTCAGGTACGGGGTGTGTCGGATGCATCCAGTCATGTTTCATTCTCACATGAACATTTCTCTCTCTCCCCCTAAAAAAAAAAAAAAATCAATAAAAATATATTTTTAAATTAATAAAAGTGTTATAAAGTATAGAAATCCCATATATATATATTATGGTTAAAAAAATGAGTATAGAAACCACAAACTAAAACCAATAATACTTTCCCAACTCCACTGGTCCTAATCCCAGAGGGTATAAATACTAGGAGTCTTGTTTTTAAAGATAGGGTTTTAAGTGGAAATTTTAAGAAAAAAATTGCAGTTGCTAGGAAAATACTCCTAAGCAAACATTTCACTGTTGTTTTTACTTTTTCTTAGGTTTCTGCTCCTAATGAATTTGATGTTATGTTTAAACTGGACGTCCCCAGAATTCAGCTAGAAGAATATTGCGACAGTGGTGCTCATTACTTTGTGAAGTTCAAAAGAAACCCCCAAGGAAGTCCTCTGAATCAGTTTTTAGAAGGGGAAAGATTATCAGCTTCTAAGATGCTGTCCAAGTTTAGGGAACTCATTAAGAAAGAAATTAAAAACATTAAAGGTAAGATTTTTGAGTTTTAATCCCTAAAGTTCTAATCATACCTACTAATTGCCCATGTATATTCCTCTCCTGATCTTTCCTGACCTCCTACAGCTCTTTGCACTTGATGTTATTCTACTACATTTTCTTGGGTTTCTTTTTTTTTTTTTGTATTCTTTTAAAATGTTGATTGGCTCTATTTTGGTCTCCATTGAATATTCACTGAACTGCTGCCTGTGCCACTGGGCATATGTGGTTGAATAAAATAATAGAATCCCCTCTTGAAGCTTGGATCTTGGAAACACAAATTGTAGTGAATACTCTGACGGGAATGAACTGGGAGAAGGGGTAGCAATTGAAGTGGTGGAGCAAGGTTCTGAGGCAGAAAAGAGCTTGGCAAGCTCAAGGAACTACAAGAGGCCCATGTGAACAAGGAAAGGAAAGAGGAACAGGAAGTGTAGTTTAAGAGGTGACCACAGACCAGATTCTTGAAGGACTTAGAAAGGTTCAGATTTTATTTTATGTTCATTGAGAAGCCAGGTTTTAATTACAAAATAGTGATTCTGTTTGTATTTTTAAAAAATACGTTTTTATTGATTTTTTGAGAGAGAGGAAGGGAGAAGGATAGAGAGATAGAAACATCCATGGGAGAGAAACATCATCCATTGGCTACCTCCTGCACATGTCCTGATCGGGCTCAAATCCGTGACCCTTGGTTCCTGGGTCGATCTCAATTGCTAAGCCACACTGGCTGGGATAGCTTTATATTTTTAAATGTTTACTCTGGCTTCTTTGGAGAAGATATTATAAGAAAGCAAGTAAGAAGATAGGAAAGAAAAATATTTTAATAGTTCAAATGAAAAGATGGGGGTGAAGTGGGGTGCCAGGATGGAGAGAAGCAGACACACCCAAGCTGTAGCAGTGCTTGCTTCTGGATTACAGTAAGTATAGGGGTGAGAGAGAGGATGGAATTGAAGAAGGCTCCCAGGTTTCTGGATTAAGTACCTGTGTAGATTGTGCCATTTACTAAGATTGGAAGGACAGAAGAGGAACACTTTGGGGAATGAATGAAGAGTTTGGCTTTGGATATTTTAAGTTAGATATCCCTGTGATATGTTAAACTGAATGTGCCAAGTACATAGTTGGATATGGTTTGGAGTTAGGAGGACACATTTGGCTACATGTCAACATATAAGCGGTCCCTTTGACAGAGAGTGCAGAGGAACTTATTCATTAATTTAATCAATATTCATTGATTATCTAATGTGACAGATGGTCTAGATGTTTGGGATACGTTAATGAACAAATAGATGAAGACCCTCACCCTTCTGTACCTTATAATTACGTAAGAGCAGATATGCAATTAATGACAAATAGAAAATATAATTATCTTGTATATTAGAAAGTAGTAAGTTCTATGGGGAAAAGGCTAGCAAAATGAGAGGGATCTGCAGTGTTAGGAATAGGATGGGGGAAATTATAATGTTAAGTAGAGTGGTAATAAGAGGATCCCATTAGAAGTTGGGGAGAAGAGAAGGAATGAAAGGGGACTGAGTGGTTTCACAGGAGCAGTGGTCAGTGTGTACAATGCTGCTGACATCCAAAAACCATTTGATTTGGTCCGTGGTTTAGTGGGGATTGTTGTTAACTTTGACTTAGCAGTTTTAGAGAGATTATGAACACACAAGAAAAAAGGGACAGGGATGCAGTAGAGACAGCGTGTGTAGGCCATTCTGGAAAATTTTGGCTGCAAAGGAAGAAGAAATATGGGTAAGTATGGGGAGGAAACTGATTTAGGGCCAAAAGAGAGGTATATTTTAGAATGAAGGACACTGGAACCCTTTGTATGTAGAGAGGAATGATCCAGCAGGGAGGGGGAGTCCAGTGATGCAAGAGAGGGAACAATTGAAAGAGGTCTTGAGCAAGTGAGAATCCAGAGGCAGGTCTAGGGGTGGCCTTGGAAAGGTGAATGGACATTTCCTCGGTGGTAATAAGAGGAAGAAGGATAAAATGGGTAAGAGTGGGGGAGGTTTGCACATTTGATAAGAAAATGAGAGTGTTCTCTAGGATTTTCTCCTTGGCATTCGTTCTCACTGTGGTCCCTTCCAGAGGTCTTATCTGGGAGTAGTCTTTACTGCTTATACACCCCTAAACCTCAAAGCCAGTATCTCTCATCTGGAAGTCTTTCCTGAACTTCTGACCACCATAGCTACTTGCCCAGTGGCTATCTCCACGTGGGTGTCCCATAGGCACATAGAGCTCAGTGTGTCTAAAATGAAGTTCATTTCAGCTCAACCCTTCTTCCTCCTGCTTACTCTATATCAGCGTTCGCCAACCTTTCAGACCCCACAGACCACCGGTTGGTGACTGCTGCTCTCTATAGAAGAATGGAATCAACATTAATCAATTCCTAGGCTAAATTTCTGGATGGCATCCCAGAACTTGTACCTTCTTCCTTATCTTGCAGGTTCAGTCCATCTACCAGTTCTCTGGTTTTTAACCTCTTAAATTGCTCTCACTTCTGCTACCTGTGTCTTTAAAAAAATAAAAATTGTATATATTTAAGATGCTTTGATACACATATACATAGTAAAATGACATCCACAGTCAAGATAATTAACATATCTCACATAGTTACCTTTTTTGTGTGTATGGTTAGAGTACCTGAAATCGCCTCTCTTAGCATAATACTTAATATTGTACAGTTTCTAGTCGTCAATGTGGTAGTATTAATGACAGTCATCATGCTGTACACTAGATGTCTAGACTCACTCTACCTAACTGCAACTTTGTTCCCTGTGACCAATATCTCCCATTTCCCTCACCTCCTCACCTCTGGTAACCACCATTCTACTCTCTTCTTCTGTTGTCTTCTGCTTTTTTAGATTTCACATAGAAGTGAGGTCATGCAGCATTTGCTTTCCTGTATCTGGTTTATTTTCTCCAGGTTCACGCATGTTGTCACAAATGACAGGATTTCTCTCTTTGTTCAGATTGAATAATATTCCATTCATATACAGGCATACCTCATCTTATTGCGCTTCAGTTCGTTTCACTTCACAGATAATGTGTTTTTTACGAATTGAAGGTTTGTGGCAGCCCTGTGTTGACTGAGTCTGTTGGTGCTATTTTTCCGACATGCTCAGATGATGCTTTAGCATTTTTTAGCAATAAAATATTTTTAATTAAGGTATTTACATTGTTTTTTAGACATAATGCAAGAGCACATTTAATAGACTACAATATAATGTAAACATAACTTTTATATGCACTGGGAAACCAAACAATTTGTGTGACCTGTTTTTTTTTTTTTTTTTTTTTTTATATATTTTTATTGATTTTTTACAGAGAGGAAGGGAGAGAGATAGAGAGTTAGAAACATCGATGAGAGAGAAACATCGACCAGCTGCCTCCTGCACATCTCCCACCGGGGATGTGCCAGCAACCAAGGTACATGCCCTTGACCGGAATCGAACCTGGGACCTTTCAGTCCGCAGGCCGACGCTCTATCCACCGAGCCAAACCGGTTTCGGCTGTGTGACCTGTTTTATTGCAATATTCACTTTATTATTGCAGTGGTCTGGGACTGAAGCCACAATATCTCCAACGTGTGCCTGTACATACCACAATTTCTTTTTTAAGTATATTTTTATTGATTTCAGAGAGGAAGGAAGAGGGAGAGAGAGATAGAAATGAGAATCATTGATCGGCTGCCTCCTTCACACTCCACACTGGGGATCGAGCCCACAACTCGGGCATGTGCCCTTGGCCGGAATTGAACCCAGAACCCTCAGTCCACAGGCTGACACTCTATCCACTAAACCAAACCAGCTAGGGCCATACCACAATTTTTTTTTTATCCACTCACCTGTCAATGGACTCTGAGATTGTTTCCATATATTGGCTATCGTGAGTAACACTGCAGTGAACGTGGGTTGCTTCTGCCGCTCATCTGCCCTCTTTTCCAGGCTTCTCTCCAAACTGCTGCTCATCAATTTAAATGAAAATCTAACCAAAGCACTCCCAAACCCCAATTTTCAGGGGCTCCTCATCATCATGCTAGAGAGATTTTGACAGTACCTTCCCGCCATAATACATTATCAATGAATATTGGCTAAACGAGTAAAACATTTTGTGTTGTGGGGTCAGTTTCTGCTTTAGAACTAATTTTCACCTTAATACTCTCTAGATATCCAACTATAGTTATGCTATTTTTCCTATATTTTCAAGAAAATTAGATTCTAAACCCTTTTTTTCCCTTTTACATGTTTAAACAGATACAGATATCGTTGTGGAGAAGAAAAAGAGAGGATGTCCTGCTGTAACACTTCTTATTAAAACACCTAGAGAAATATCTGTGGATATAATCTTGGCTTTGAAAGTACAAAGCAGCTGGCCACTTAGCACCCAGGAAGGCATGCCCATTGAAAATTGGCTTGGAAGAAAAGTAAAGAAGAGCCTAAGACTACAGCCATTTTACCTGGTCCCTAAGCCTGCAAGGGAAGGAAATGGTTTTCAAGGTATCTTAAATGTGAAGGTTAATTTAAGAACATCTTAAAGAGTTGTTAATGTTATATACAAGGGTAGTAAAAGTTCGACGACTGCTGTTGGCATTTCAAGAGTCATCAGGCTCAATAGGCCACCAGTACAAGATGGGAGTTTGATGAGTGATGGAATTGAAAACGGCATAGTTGTAGTAGTAACATCAGATACTCAGCTTTAAAATGTCTAGTAGCCCACATTTGAATGTTACCTTTTTTATTTAAAAAACTAGAGGCCTAGCCCTAGCTGGTTTTGCTCAGTAGATAGAGCGCTGGCCTATGGACTGAAGGGTCCCAGGTTAGATTCTGGTCAAGGGCATGTACTTTGGTTGCAGGCACATCCCCAGTGGGGGATGTGCAGGAGGCAGCTGAATTGATGTTTCTCTCTCATCAATGTTTCTAACTCTCTATCCCTCTCCCTACCTCTCTATAAAAAATCAATAAAATATATTTTTTTAAAAAGAATTAAAAAAAAACTAGAGGCCCAGTGCATGAAATCGTGCATGGGTAGGGTCCCTAGGCCTGGTCGGTGATCAAGGCCAATCGGGGCCTTCCTTTCCCCAGTTGCCCGCTGCTGGCCGTGGCCTTCTTTTGTTCTGCACCGCCCCCTGATGGTCAGTGAACATCATGTCATAGTGGGCGGTCGAACTCCCAGTCAGTCAAACTCCCGAGGGGACAATTTGCATGTTTAGACTTTTATTATATAGGATATTTTTATTGATTTTAGAGAGTAAGGGAGAGGGAGAGAGATATAGAAACATCAGTGATGAGAGAGAATCATTGATTGGCTGCCTCCTGCACACCCCCTTCTGGGGATCAAGCCTGCAACCTGGGCATGTGCCCTGACCAGGGATAGAACTGTGACCTCCTGGTTCATAGGTCGATGCTCAACCACTGAGCCACACTAGCCAGGTTTGTTGTTAATAAAGAAAGGCAATACTGGCCTCAGAGTCAGACTGCTCTCTGGTTCTGGACCCTAAGGCTTCTACTCATTACTAACTGTGAGATTTTAGACTAGTTACCAAGCCTCTCTAAATAATACTTTATTCACATTTCCTTAATTTTTACCCATGTCCTTTTCCTGTTTCAGGATCTCATCTAGGATACCACATTACATTTAGTTATCATGTCTCCGTAGGCTCCTCTTTTTTGTTGTTGTTAATCCTCAGCCAAGGATATTTTTTCCATTGATTTTTAGAAAGAGTGAAGGGAGGAAGGGGGAGAGAGAGAGAGAGAGAGAGAGAGAGAGAGAGAGAGAGAGACATATCAATGTGAGAGAGACACATCAATTGATTGTCTCCCGCATGCACCCTAACTGGGGCCAGGGATCGAACCTCTAACCCAGGTACGTGTCCTTGACCAGGAATTGAACCTGTGACCCTTCAGTACGCAGGCCAACACTCTGACAACTGAGCCACACCAGCCAGGACTCCTTAACAGTTTCTCAGCCTTCCCTTGTTTTTGATGACCTTGACAGTTTTGAGGAATACTAGTTAATTATTTTGTAGAATGTCCCTCATCTGGCATGTATCTGATGTTTTTCTTTCTTTCTTTTTTTAAATAAGTGGCCTTAATTTTTTACCTTTTTATTTATTTATTTAAATTTTATTGATTTTTTTTACAGAGAGGAAGGGAGAGGGATAGTTAGAAACATCAATCAGTTGCCTCCTGCACATCTCCTACTGGGGATGTGCCCGCAACCAAGGTACATGCCCTTGACCAGAATCGAACCTGGGACCCTTGAGTCCGCAGGCCGACACTCCATCCACTGAGCCAAACCAGTTAGGGCTGATGTTTATTTTAGGACTAGACTGGAGTTCTGAGTTTTGGAGAGGGAGACCAGAGTATTCTTGACCCCTTGTATTTTCATGAAAATTTTCATATCATCTTGTCAAGTTCTACCAAAGCATTTTTTTGAATATTGATTGAGAGTACATTGAATCCATAGATAAAATTTGGAAGACTTGATATATTTATAATGAGTTTTCCAATTCATGGATAAGTGCATATCTCCATTTATTTAGATTTCCTCTAATACTTCTTAGTGACATTGTAGAGTTTTCTCCATAGAAGTTTAATATATCTTTTGTTAGATTTACTCATAGGCAATTGTAAGTTTTTAGTCTGAAATTTTAAAACCAATAGAAAAGTAGAATGAAGAATTTACTAAACTCATACATATCTGCCACCTAGCTTCTTGTGTATTTTCTTCCTACGTAGTTGTATTATCTATCAGTAATGATACCTTTGTTCCTCTCTCTCCAGTGCCAGACCCCTTATTATGCTTGCCAGGATAGCCAGTGCATGTTGAACAGAAATAGGGATAGCAGACATCTGCCTAACTGATTTTAAAGGAAAAACCTAAGCTTTTTACCTTATATTATCATGTTGCTGTGTCCTTCTTAAAATCTGTCTTTCATCAGATCAAGTTGACAGCCAAATTTAAATTGCTGAGGCTTTTTAAAAAAATGATGACTCTCTCGGCCACTGGAGCTTACCGTTGCATCGGTGAGTGTGGCAGGGGAGCCAAACCTAGGTTTGAAATGAATGACTCTTTGCTTTTGCATCGGACTCGCTGGCTCCCTGTGGGTTCTTGGGAATCATGAAATCTGGGCACAACAACTCAAACGGGAGAAGCGGGACTGTCTGGCTTCGGTCAGAGCGAGTGCAGCTTTCTCTCCGAGGTTTGCAGCGGGTGCTGGGACTCAGAGAGGCAGAGCCCCTGGGGACAGGACTGAGAGCTGCCATAACTGCTCTCTCTGGCCCACCCTGTTGATCCTGTGCGACCCGCCCCGCCCAAGCCCTGCACACAGGCATTTGCCGGATAGCCTCAGGCAAAGGCTAGATTAGCACCTCCCTAGAGGACAGAAGCTCTCTCACTGCAGACACAGCTGATTCTCATAGCCACTTGGCCTGGAGGTCAAACCCTCCCTGGTATTAGCTACAACAATCAAGGCTTAACTATAAGACTGCGCACAAAGACCACTGGGGGATGCACCAAGGAAGCATAACAAAATGCGGAGACAAAGAAACAGGACAAAATTGTCAATGGAAGATATAGAGTTCAGAACCACACTTTTAAGGTCTCTCAAGAACTGTTTAGAAGCCGCCGATAAACTTAATGAGATCTACAAGAAAACTAATGAGACCCTCGATGTTATTGGGGAACCAACTAGAAATTAAGCATACACGGACTGAAATAACGAATATTATACAGACTCCCAACAGCAGACCAGAGGAGTGCAAGAATCAAGTCAATGATTTGAAATTCGAGGAAGCAAAAAACACCCAACCGGAGGGGCGGAATGAAAAAAGAATCCAAAAATGCGAGGATAGTGTAAGGAGCCTCTGGGACAGCTTCAAGCGTACCAACATCAGAATTATAGGGGTGCCAGAAGATGAGAGAGAGCAAGATATTGAAAACCTATTTGAAGAAATAATGACAGAAAACTTCCCCCACCTGGTGAAAGAAATGGACTTACAGGTCCAAGAAGCGCGGAGAACCCCAAACAAAAGGAATCCAAAGAGGACCACACCAAGACACATCATAATTAAAATGCCAAGAGCAAAAGATAAAGAGAGAATCTTAAAAACAGCAAGAGAAAGAAACTCAGTTACCTACAAGGGAATACCCATACGACTGTCAGCTGATTTCTCAACAGAAACTTTGCAGGCCAGAAGGGAGTGGCAAGAAATATTCAAAGTGATGAATACCAAGAACCTACAACCAAGATTACTTTATCCAGCAAAGCTATCATTCAGAATTGAAGGTCAGATAAAGAGCTTCACAGATAAGGAAAAGCTAAAGGAGTTCATCACCACCAAACCCGTATTATATGAAATGCTGAAAGGTATCCTTTAAGAAGAGGAAGAGGAAGAAAAAGGTAAAGATACAAATTATGAACAACAAATATGCATCTATCAACAAGTGAATCTAAGAATCAAGTGAATAAATAATCTGATGAACAGAATGAACTGGTGATTATAATAGAATCAGGGACATAGAAAGGGAATGGAATGACTATTCTTGGGGGGGAAAGGGGTGTGGGAGATGTGGGAAGAGACTGGACAAAAATCGTGCACCTATGGATGAGGACAGTGGGTGGGGAGTGAGGGCGGAGGAGGGTGGGGCGGGAACTGGGAGGAGGGGAGTTATGGGGGGTAAAAAAGAGGAACAAATGTAATAATCTGAACAATAAAGATTTAATTTAAAAAAAAATGATGAATCAGCCATGGTCGGTTTGGCTCAGTGGATAGAGTGTTGACCTGCAGATTGAAGGGTTGCAGGTTCGATTCTGGTCAAGGGCACATGCCTGGGTTGCAGACTCGATCCCCAGTAGGGGGCCTGCAGGAGGCAGCCAATCAATGATTCTCTCTCATCACTGATATTTTTCTCTCCCTCTCCCTTCCTCTCTGAAATCAATAAAAACATTTTTTCAAAAACTGATGAATGAATGTTAAATTTCATTACCCGCATATTCTGGGTTTTTTGAGATCATGTTTCTCCTCAATTCTGTTAATGTGACAGATTATATTGGTTGATTTTTAAATTACAAACCAATCATGCATTCCTGGTATAAAACCAACTATATAATAGGATAGCCAGAACTTAAAAGAGCTAGCCGTGCTAAAACTTGCGGGAAGGGGAGAAATCTATTCTTAATTAAACTCTCACAGGGAATAGAAATGCTCTCTAATTCATTTTACATGAATACCAAACTTGTAAGAATGGTATAAAATGTTTTTAATCAATTCAAATTGTTATTGAAACAATATATTAACAAACTGAATTTAGCAATATGACAGCTTACATGGCTAACTATATTAAGCAACCTGCTCCATCCCTCCCCTCCAATGTTTTCCTATTTTGGTCCATTGTTTGCTTCAAATGACTTCTTTTAATATGTAATTACATTATATGTTCATTTCTTTGTGTCTATATCTCCCTAGAAATTTTTCAGAATGATAGTTTAATGAAGGAAATCGTTTCAATATTGTATTGTTTATATGTAGGCACTTTGGGTAAATTACTTCTCTATTTTTCTTTTGGAAATTAAGAAGAAACATGGCGGCTATCCTTCTCTCACATTGAAAAGGACATTTTGAAAAATCATGGAAAAGAAAAAACATGCTGTGAAAGTAATGGAGTGAAATGTTACAGGTAACTTTCTTATTTTGTTCATTAGGGGCTTATCTATGATGGAATGTTTATTTTTTTAATGGACTCCATAGATCAGACCTAAAGATGGTCATTACTGGGTTGAGTCCTAGGGGCAGCACATGGCTGGGCTGACCTGGAATATTATCTAGAGAGTGAGCATGAAACTAGGGAAGCCAGATCCAAGGGACCAAGGGAAGAGTGTTGTCAGAAGGCAAGGCCAGGGACCATAGTCCTGAACCTGGATCAGATGGATGTATAAAGTAGGACAGAACAAGAAGTAGGACAGAAAGGACACTAGCCATGATTAGCCATTAGCCACTGGTTGTGTCTTAGTATTCTGGTTGCTTCAAGGTAATGAATATTAATGTCACATAATGGGAAGGTGCCAGAGGATCAATCTTTTTTTTTTAATATATTTTATTGATTTTTTACAGAGAGGAAGGTAGAGAGATAGAGAAGCATCGATCAGCTGCCTCCTACACACCTCCTACCCAGGATGTGCCTGCAACCAAGGTACATGCCCTTGACCGGAATCGAACCTGGGACCCTTGAGTCCGCAGGCCGACGCTCTATCCACTGAGCCAAACCAATCTTTTTGATACTGGTGCTGCTTTGAGATGGTTTGGCTGCGTTGAAAGCCAGGACTGACTGGCTAAATTTGAAACAACTAAAAATGGGTAATTCTTTTTCTTGGTAGCATACACACCATAAAAAAGTGAGGCCCTAGCTGGTTTGGCTCAGTGGCTAGGTCGGCCTGCCAATTGAAGGGTCCTGGGTTTGATTCCAGTTGAGGGTGCATGCCTGGTTGCACGCTTGATCCCCAGTAGAGGGCGTGCAGAGGCAGCGGATCAGTGATTCTCTCTCATCATTGATGTTTCTATCTCTCCCTCTCCCTTCCTCTCTGAATTCAATAAAACAAATATATATATATTTTTTTAAAAAAGTGAGATTGGAAAAGAATTGTTCATTTGAGTTTCTAAAGTTGTCCAGTATAAGGGTAACAAAAGTTAAAAGGTCAAAACAAGAATGTCCAAAAAGAAAAGAAAAGAAAAAAGAATGTCCAACATGTGGGCCCAGGAGGTTCTTTAAAGCTTCAGGTACAGGCTTTGAAACCAATGTTGAGAAAAATATATTGCTGGTAAAGCTAAGTATTTTTAAAAACATTAAATTATGCCAACTATGAAATAATTGGATGAATAATGTAAATATTTATAGTCTATCAAGTCATTGGATGAATAATACAAATATCTGCTAGTTTTATAATTGAATTAATCCTGATAAAATAAAATATTTCAGCTAGGAATGGTGAAGCAGGAAGAAAATAATATGTTTTTGAAACTTCAAAGCATATATTTGAAAAAATAGAGTGACTAGAATTATATTTATACTAGGGGCCCGGTGCACGAAATTCGTGCACTGGGTGTGTGTGTCGGGGGGGAGTGTCCCTCAGCCCAGCCTGCCCCCTCTCACATACTGGGAGCCCTCAGGCATTGACCCCCATCCCCCTCCAATCGCCTAATCGGCCCCTTGCCCAGGCCTGACGCCTCCGCCAGAGGTGTCAGGCTTGGACAGGGGACCCCCATCTCCCCCCGATCACTGGCTCTGGCCCCCACCCAGGCCTGAGGCCTCTGGCCCAGGAATCATGCCTGGGCAGGGGACCCCCATCTCCCTTTGATCGCTTGCTCCACCCCCCGCCCAAGCCTGACGCCTCTGACCCAGGCTTCAGGCCTGGGCAAGGGGACCATCATATACCCCAATCCCCGGCTCCGCCCCCCACCCAGGCCTGATGCCTCTGGCCCAGGCATCAGGCCTGGGCAGGGGACCCCCAGCCCCCCGCCCAGGCCTGATGCCTCGGCCAGAGGAGTTGACACTCATCACCCTCTGATCACCAATCACCGGATCGGCCCCTTGACCAGGCCTGAGGCCTCCGGCAGAGGTGTCAGGCCTGGGCAGGGGACCCCCAGCTCCCCGCGGTTGCAGGCTCCGCCCCTGCCCAGGCCTAATGCCTCTGGCCTAGGTGTCCTGCCCGGGCAGCGGGGACCTGCAGTGGCAGCGGGGGGGAGCCACGATCGCGCGAGCTCCGCCCCTGCCCCTGCAGGACGCCTCTGGCTGAGGCGTCCGGCTCGGGCAGCGGGGACCCGCAGCTGCAGCGGCCCCGCAATCGTGGGCTTTGCTTTAGGCCCAGGCAAGGGACCCCTAGCTCCTGGGACTGCCAGCTTCGACCGTGCCCAGCTCCCATCGCTGGCTCCACCCCCACTTCCTGCTATCACTGGCCAGGGCGGAAAAGGCACCTGATTCTCCGATCATGGCTGGGGGGCAGGGCAAAGGCAGCCCCAGGGCCGCCTTTGCCCTGCCCCCCAGCTCTTAGCTCTCCCCTGGGTGTCCGATCACTGTCAGTGGCAGGGGGCTTCTTCCTGCTTTCCCTTTTGCGTCCCTGCATTGTGCCTACATATGCAAATTAGCCACCATCTTGTTGGCAGTTAACTGTCAATCTTAGTTGGCAGTTAATTTGCATATAGCCCTGATTAGCCAATGAAAAGGGTAGCGTCGTACGTCAATTACCATTTTTCTCTTTTATTAGTGTAGATGCTTTATCTTTGTGTCTTTATATGTATTATAATATCTGTATCGTTTATTGTATCTTCCTGTAAGATACCTAAAACTCTTTGTGGAATGAAGCAGGTTGTAAATAAGTAAAAATAAATGGTTTTCTTTTTTATTGAACAGGAAACGTTGTTTACAACTAATGAAATATCTTTTAGAAAAATTGAAAGAAAAGTTTGAAGACCAAAAGAAATTGGGTAAATTCTGTTCTTACCACGTGAAAACTGCCTTCTTTCATGTATGTGCCCAGAACCCACATGACAATCAGTGGCGAGACAACCTGGAGCTCTGCTTTGATAGATGTCTGGAATACTTTCTTCATTGCCTCAAGTCAGAAAATCTTGAGCATTTTTTTATTCCTGAAGTCAATCTATTCTCTCGAGATAAAATTGACAGGATAAGTAAAGAATTTCTGACAAAAGAAATTGAATATGAAAGAAACAATGGATTTCCAATTTTTGGTGAATTTTGAAAATATATAAAAATATACATCAATTATATATATTTAACTTATTTTTATTGTTGAGAGCATTACCAATATCCCCCATTTTCTTCCCTTTTGTCCCCCTCCACCCAGCTACTGCCCCACCCCAGGCCTTCACCACACTGTTGTCTGTGTCCATGAGCTATGCATATGTGCATACTAGCAGCCAGGTGCACAGATTCATGCTGCACATTGAAAGGAAATTAATTAGAAGAAAGATTTGTGTGGTAATTACATTACTGCAAAAAATTACATATCAAAATAGTATATTTAGCCCTGACCGGTTTGGCTCAGTGGAGAGAGCGTTGGACTGCGGACTGAAGGGTCCCGGGTTCGATCCCAGTCAAGGGCATGTGCCTTGGTTGTGGGCACATCCCCAATGGGGGGTGTGCAGGAGGCAGCTGATGGATGTTTCTCTCTCATCGATGCTTCTAGCTCTCTATCCTTTCCCTACCTCTCTGTAAAAAATTCAATAAAATATATTTTAAAAAAAAGTATATTTAATATCCTATATAATAAAAGGCTAATATTCAAATCGACTGAACGGCAGAACGACTGGTCGCTATGATGTGCACTGACCACCAGGGGGCAGATACTCAACACAGGAGCTGCCCTCTGGTGGTCAGTGTGTTCCCACAGGGGGAGTGCCTGTCAGCCAGAAGCTGGGTTCATGGCTGGTGAGCACAGCGGCAGCTGCAGGAGCCTCTCCCGCCTCCGCAGCAGCACTAAGGACCCTTCGGGGGATGTCTGCCCACTCCCAGACTGCGAGAGGGCACAGGCCGGGCTGAGGGACGCCCCGAGTACACGAATTTCATGCACCGGGCTTCTAGTAGTATTATAAAATTACAGCACTTGTGCAGTTGGCACCAGTGAGAGCTTTATATGTATTGTGCATGTGCGAGTCAATGTTTATTTTTAAACTAGAGGCCCGGTGCACAAAAATGTGCACTTGGGGGGTCTCTCAGCCCAGCCTGTGCCCTCTCGCAGCCTGGGACCCCTCGGGGGATGTCCACCTGCTGGCTTAGGCCCGCTCCCCGGGGGGGATCGGGCCTAAGCTGGCAGTCAGACATCCCTCTGGGAGCCCGGGAGCCCTCAAGGGACGTCCACTTGCCAGCGGGGAGTAGTCCTAAGCTGCAGTCGGACATCCTTCGTGCTGCTGAGGAGGCGGGAGAGGCTTCTGCCACCACCGCTGTGCTGGCAGCCGTCAGCCTGGCTTGTGGCTGAGCGCTCCCCCTGTGGGAGCGCACTGACCACCAGGGGGCAGCTCCTGCATTGAACGTCTGCCCCCTGGTGGTCAGTGTGTGTCATAGTGACCAGTCATTCCCAGTCGTTCTGCTGTTAGGGTCAATTTGGGTATTACCCTTTTATTATATAGGATTGCCAATGCATGTCATATGTACCGGCCAGTCGGACAGACGGATAGTTGGTCATTTAGCCTTTTATATATAGACTAGAGGCCTGGTGCATGGATTCATGCACCAGTGGGGTCCCTAGTCCTGGCCTGCGGGGATCGGGCCAAAACCGGCTCTCCAACATGCCCCAAGAGGTCCTGGATTGCAAGAGGGTGCAGGCCAGGCCGAGGGACCCTGCCAGTGCACGATTGGGGCTGGGGAGGGACCCCGAGAGGGCTCCAGGGCGTGTCTGGCTTGTCTTGCCCAATCCCGATCAGCCAGACCCCAGCAGCAAGCTAATCTACCAATCAGAGCATCTGCCCCTGGTGGTCAGTGTGTGTCACAGAAACTGGTCGAATGGTTGGACACTTAGCATATTAGGCTTTTATTATATAGGATAGATAAGTTCTTTGGTTAATCTCTTCCCAACAACCCACCTCCCACCCCTTCCCTTTGAGATCTGTCAGTCTATTCCATGCTTCCTTGACTCTGACCATGTTTGTTCACCAGTTTATTTTGTTCATTAGATTCCACATGTAAGTGGAGATCATGTGATATTTTTAAAAAGAGAAGAATTAGAGTGACTATAATTGAAATGTTTGGTCCTAGCTGGTTTGGCTCAGTGGATAGAGCGTTGGCCTGTGGACTGAAGGGTCCCCAGGTTCAATTCCAGCCATGGGCACATGCCCAGGTTGAAAACTCAATCCCAAGTAGAGGGTGTGCAGGAAGCAGCCGATCAATGATTCTCTCTCATCATTGATGTTTCTATCTCTCCCTCTCCCTTCCTCTCTGAAATCAATAAAAATATATATTTCTTAAATGTTTGAAATTTGTCACCGTAATGATGGCTAAAAATGAATAAACAATTATTCTGCTCTATTTGTCTTAAACTAATTAATATTAAAGGATTAATTTTTTGGGAAAGAAATTAGTCAAGGAATACAAAGCAAAAGGAGTATTTAAAATCTGAAAGCTTTACCAGATTGGAATGATAAAGACAAAATATATAGTTATCTATCACCTTCATTCATTAAGCCCTTACTGAACACCACTTTTCACCAAGCTCAAATATGTGGAAGGTTGCAAGAGACAATATTAGAAATGGCCATTGCCTCCATAAAACTGGTGGGCTTTGTTCAACATACAAATATATTTGGAAGTAGTGTCCTATCCTAAATATTAGGATATTTAAGAAGGAAATGAAAAAATAAATTCTACATTGTCTTTACATGTCTCAGGAAATTCATAATGTTATAGGAAAATATTGGCTAAATTAATACATGTGGCTAAATATAAAACATGTAATATTTTTTTAAAGTAGCACTTTTATATATATTTCAGAAAAGGCAATAAATACACATGGTACAAAACTAAAAGAAACAGGTGTGGAGTAAAATTTCACCTATTCTCTGTGCTCAGGTAGCCTTTAACCTCAAGACAGAATAACTTGGGAATTTTTAGTGACAGCTGCTGTTTGTTCACTTTTTTCGGTTCCTATATTTTGCATATTTTCTTTTTGGCTATTTTATTGTTTTCTAGAACTTTAAAAATGTATTTTAGATACAGTCATGTGCCATATAGTGACAGACCACATATATGATGGTGATCCCATAAGATTATAATAGAGCTGAAAAATTCTTATCAACTAGAGACATAGCCATGGTTACATCATAGCACAACACATTACTCATGTGTTTAAGGTGATGCTCATGTAAACAAACCTAAGTCAAATCACACATGCAGTTATATACAGTACTTAATATTTGATGATAATAAATGACTTACTGATTTACATATTTACTATTCTACACTTTTTATCATTATTTTAGAGTGTTACTATTTCTACCTATACAAAAAATAGTTTGTGCCCTGGACAGTGTGGCTCAGTTAGTTGGGTCTTGTCCCATGCACCAAAAGATTACCGGTTTGATTTCCAGTTGAGGCACATGCCCATGTTGCAGGTTCAATCCCCAGTAGGGGGCGTGCAGGAGTCGGTTGATATTTTCTCTCATATCAATATTTCTCTCTCTCCTTCTGTCTAAAAGTAAATTTAAAAATTTTTAATAGTTTTCTGTGCCCAGCTGGTGTAGCTCGGTGGTTGAGTGTTGACCTGTGAACTTGGAGGCTACGGTTCTATTCCCAGTCAGGGCACATGCCCAGGTTGCAGGCTAGATTCCTAATAGGGGACGTGCAGGAGGCAGCCAATCGATGCCTCTCTCTCATTGATGCTTCTATCTCTCTATCCCTCTCCTTCCTCTTTCTCTAAAGTCAATAACAACATTAAAAAAACAGTTTGCTATAAAACAGTACATTGTTACATTGGCAGCAGCCTCCTCTCATGTTTACCGTGTCTCTTGATTGCATCATTTTCTCTTGTTACTGATTTAATCTCATTTTATAAATTTAGTGTAGCCTAAGTGTATAATGTTTATAAAGTCTACAGTAGTGCACAGCAATGTCTAAGGCCTTTATATTCACTCACCACTCACTGACTCACCCAGAGCAACTTCCAGGCCTGCAAGCTCCATTTAGGGTCAGTGCTATGTTGGGGTTGTGCCATTTTTATCTTTTATACTGTATTTTTATGTTTATGTATGTTTAAATATACGAATATTTACCATTGTGCTACAGTATTCAGTACAGCAATATGCTGTACAGGTCTGTAATCTAGGAGCAACAAGCTATATCATATAGCCTTCGTGTGCAGTAGACTACACCATTTAGGTTTCTCTAACTGCAGTCTGTCATGTTCGCACAATGACAAAATTGCCTAATGATGCATTTCTCCGAACATATCCTCGTTGTTAAGCGGTGCATGACAGTACTTACGTTTGGTTGGTTGTCTACACAATGAATAACTTCTTCCACTGTGTGGAAAGTCTACCATTTTTGGTTTCTTTCTTTTAGTAAACAAGGTTTAAATTTTTAAAAATTCTAATTGATTTTTTTAGAGAAAGGAAGGGAAAGAGAGAAACATTGATTTGTTGTTTCACTTATTTATGCATTCATTGGTTGATTCTTGTATGTGCCCTGATCTGGGATGGAACCTGCAACCTTGGTGTATCAGGACGACACTCCAGCCGAGATACCCAGCCAGGACTAAGTTAAAAAAATTTTTTTTAATCACCTGATATTTTTTCCATTGCTTTTTAGAGAGAGGGGAAGACAGAAATATTGATGTGAGAGAAACTCATTGATTGGTTGCCTCCTGCACAAGCCCTGACCAGGGCCGGGGCCAGAGAGGAACCTGCAACCGAGGTATGTGCCCTTGACTGGAATCGAACCCTAGATCCTTCGGTCCACAGGCCGACGCTCTATCCACTGAGCCAAACCAGCTAGGGTCAAGTTTTTAAATTTTGAATGTAGTTGAATTTGTCAAGTCTTCTGATTTTTGTATTTTATGTATCTTAACCTACTATATTTGAACGTATCTAAGAGAAAAGTTAGACATCTGGAGGAGAGTTTGGGGGACAATGAATGATAGAGAACTAGGCAAACAAAAAAATCTAAGCTACTGCAGGAAAAAAAATGAATGTGTGCAAAAGAAATCAGTCTGATTTGAGAATATTGTTCAGCCATAAGTATTGAAGTCAAAGTGACATAACCATTGACTATTAATCAAATTCTAT